GGGTGGGACTGGGGGCTGGTGAGCAGACAGAAGACGGTCCTGAATGCAGATTAGACTTAGGGACCCTACTCGCACACCATTTCTTATGCTGGGCCTCTAGTCAGAGTATAAAAAAGGAACGGAAGGATCTAAGGATCTCTTACCCCTTGAGACAGCATGGAGGGACCTGGAGAGTATTATGCTGGACGAAATAAGCCAGTCAGAGAAAGACAAGTATCACATGTTCTCACTCATATGTGGTATCTAATGAACAAAATAAATCAAGAGACACAGAAGCATGGAACAGCCTGTGGAATCTGAGAGGGAAGGCGGGGGTGGGTGGGAAGAGATTAACCAAAGAACTTATATGCATATATGCATAACCCATGGACATAGACAGTAGTGTGGTGAAGGCCTGGGGTGCAGGTGGGTGCAGGCTAGAAGGTGTCAATGGAGAAAAAAGGGGACACAACTGTAATACTTTCAACAATAAAGATTTTTTTAAAAAGGAACTGCAGGAGCTAAGTGGCTCAAAAATCAGGTATTGAATACCACCTTAGTTTGGAAAGAAGCAAATTTAAGATTATAGGGGATAAACAATAGAAAGAAGATTTTCTACTGGAGAAGATGACAATAAACCTCAATCCTGCTAATGAATTCCCAAGTTGATCTGAGCTTCAATTGTCCGACTTTTGCTTTTCACAGTCAGTTTTTATCTAGAACAGAACAGTGCTAACAATTGTGCCCAACATCATAGTTCTCAACTGAAGCCCAAGCAATGCCTGGAGTTTAGCTCCAATTCTGCTACTACACTTGTGACCCTATTTAATCTCATAGGACCCCTCATTTACTGCAAAATGGAAAAGCTAGACCTGAGGATTCCTTAATTTTGTCCCACCACTACATTTTTATGATGCAGGGTTTTTGCAATAGAAAAAATAAAGTTAAAAAAGATAAATACCAAAGGTTAAAGGGACTACAAGTGGGGAGGACTGGAAAAGGCAGATCTTAATCTTTCCCAGGATACAGTTTTATAGTTTGAATTCTTTTTAAGTATATATTATTTTAACAATAAAAATAAAAGTCAGTGCCTGCTTCCTCCTGTAAGAGATGAAAATTCGGTTTAAGTGCTCAGATTTAAATCATCTGTCTCAGTCTCACTCTTACCTACCACCTGTTTCTTGATGGTGTCTTATAAAGATCTCAGTGAGTACACTAGGAGGCACACATACTGACTACATCTTATTCCCTTGAGCAGTGCACGGGGAATATCACATGTTATAGCGGCTACTAAATGCAGCTTACTTCAAACCCAAAAACAAGGTTAATAAATTTATAGAACATGGTATCTAATCTATTTCATAAGTTCCTGTCAAATATGAAAATGTGTTGATAGCATTGTTTTTAACTACTAGAGATTTATAAAAACAAAATACTGTATATGTTGGAAACTGTTGATAATTGATAGGATAATTATAGAAGTACAACTAATTTCTAGCTTTGACTTTGTTATTGCTTAGCTGACTAAATCTTAGGAATATACTTTAATATATCAAAGAAGCATAAACTTTGGAGTCAGACAACCGTGTGCATAAGTAAAATCTGAATCTCAGCTTCCTTATCTGTAAAATATATAACATTAATTTGAACCATATCAAACAGCCACTTTTTGGCAAGAAAAAAAAAAGCAGCTTGTTTTATGGAGTTTAGGGAATAACAAAGAAAAAGCATTCAGCATATTGCTTGGCACATTATATAGGTTCTCAGTAAATGGGAGTTATAATTATTTTTCTTTCTTCAATCCTCACCTGGTGAAATATTCACCTATTTTTAAAGAGAAGGAAAGGGAGAGAGAGAAAAAAAATTGATTGGTTGCCTCCCCCAGTAAGGATCAAACCTGAAACCTAAGTATGTGCCGAACCAGAATCGAACCCAAGACCCCTTGGGGTACGAGACTATGCTCCCACCAATTAAACCTCACCAGCCAGGGCAGAGCTATAATATTTTGATTATTGTTATTAACAGTTATTAACAACTGTCAAGGAATCAGCAGAACCATAAAACTTAGCCATACCTTTCCCATAGCTGCATTATATAGCATCTCAAACTGCCTTTAATCAAAGCTCTAAGTAGGTATTCCCTGGGAAGACAGGATAAACTTGGGAACATTACCATGCAGGGCACCATGTTTACTTGAACCTGATAAACAGCTGTAGATGAGAACTAACCTGAGAAAGGAGACAGCTAAGTTCCACTCCCTTCTCTTTGGTCTTTTCCAAAAATTTCAAGAAATCTCACACACACACACACACACACACACACACACACACACACAAAAAAAAAAAAAAAAAAAAAAAAAAAAAAAACTAAGGAAAATACAGGAAATTCCAAAACTTCAAAGGATAAACTCATTGTTTTTGTACCCAAGCTCATGTAGGAATGTGATAGCCACCTGGCTTCTGCAGACAATTACTGACGTCCGCCAAGCTTTTAAAATAATTTCCTTCATGGAAGGAAACTGGAGCTACACAATGAAACCTCAATATTGTACTATCATGCATTGGGACTAGCAATCTGACATGAAAAAGGAGATTTTAGTCAACTGTGTCAAGTCTTGAAAACTTGAGCAGCTGGAAGATAGGGGCTCTCTTCACAACAGACCTTCCAGAAAGTCTAGCATTTTGTTTTCCTCTACATCCCATAAGTTACAGGGGAGTCAGACTCACCTACTAATTTTGCATGCCCCACACGGGTAATGGTTTAGTCACTTTAAGTGCAAGGGCTTCCACAGAAACTGGCTTGTAGGAAACCTGGTTTGACAAAGATCCACAAGGCATCAAAGGAAACAGCCAGATGAGATACCTATTTGTTATTTCTCTACCCCTTAGTGTAAGGAAGAATGTTTAAAAGAAAGACCATTGAGAAGACTTCAAGAAAGATTTTTCCATTCACATAATGAAAAATCATCATACGAATTGTGAACTGGTACTCTAAGGCATTATTAAAGAGTAAGTATTGCCCTGGCCAGTGTGGCTCAGTTGGTTGGAGCATCATCCCTTATGCCAGAGGTGGTGGGTTTGATTCCTGGTCAAGACACATACCAAGGTTGTGGGTCCCATTCCCACCAGAAGCAACCCATCAATGTGTCTCTCTCTCTCTCTCTCTCTCTCTCTCTCTCTCTCTCTCTCTCAAAAAAAAAGAAGAAAAAAAAAAGTCAGTGCCATCTTGATTGTTCTGAATGCTCACTGACAAAACCTACTTTTAATGAGGAAAAAAAGGGGCTCCAGGAACTGCAAATCAAAGCAAAGATGTATCCTGGGAAGTTAAATTTGCTGCACCTCCAATAAAAGTTTGGCATCATCTGGTAAAGTTATGCACACCCTATGACTCAACAATTCTCCCTGGACTCTAAGGCATGTATTCTAAAAAAAACCCTCTTACACATTTGCAGTAGTATCTAGGCTTAAGACTGCTTAAAGCATTATCTTTAGTATATCCCCAAACTGGAACAACAAAATGCCCATCCAACAGTAGAATGGATACAGTTATAGTCACACAATGGAATACTGGACAGCAATAAAAGTTACCTACAGAAACATACAAGTCCACCAGTAATTCAAAGCCACAAAATAATAACAATAGGATCCCACTCATCAAAGTTCAAAAACAGAGAAGCAAAACTATACTGCATACCTAAGGTGACAAAACTATTAAGAAAAAGAAAAAAAAAAGAAAAAAGCACAGTTTAGCGAGGAAATCGTGCTCAGAAGGGAATGCAAAGTGTGGGTGGAACTCCGGAGGTGCCAGCAATGTTCTGCTTTTTATCTGGGTGTTTTATTATCAATTTTAAACATGTACTTGTATGCAATTCTCCGCCTATCCTATAGCATAAAAATGTATCGGTAACCCTGCAGAGATTCACGCCTCTGAAAGGGTGAGCGCTGGGGACGATCCACCTGGCCATAAGGTTGAAGGCCAGCCCTTAGCGGCAGGGCTCCGGGAGAAACAGGCCCCAGGAACTGTCGGGTCCGCACGGATCCGCGAACTGGGGCACACCCTCTCCCCTCTCTATGGAACTAAAGTTTTCAGGGGGCCGAGGATCCACGAGACCCCATCAGGGCGGCGGGCTCTCCTCCTCGCCGGCCAAGCCCACCTAGAAACAGCCGAGTCCTCGCCCGCCACTCCGGCCCTGGCACCGTCTCCGGGATTCCGGGCGGGACCGGGCAACTCTGGGGCTCTGCCCGGGCTTCCTGAAGGGAAGGCGCAGCCCCCCGGGGTCCCAGGCAAGTGATGCCGGGGCACTGCCGCCCACGCCGAGCCCCGCTGGCAGCTCCCGGGGCGGCCGGGACCCTGGTGGGCGTCGCCGGCCGCGGGCCGGGAGGGGTAGGTAGGGGGGCGCGTACCTCTCCACCGCAGAGGATACCTCGCCAACTCCCGGTGACTGAGGGCAGAGATTATTTCCGGGGACGGCCCCCGCCTCCCCTCCCGGGCGACCACTAGCTGTCTCCTTCCCACTTTGGAGTGCGGGCGCGGGCGCACGCGCATTGCCGCGCTTCCGTGAGGACACGCGCGGAGGACCCGCTGCCGCCGCCGCCGCCGCCGCCAGGGCCCGGCGCGCGCGCGCACCCAGACGTGCAGGGGTGGGCGTGGGGGCGCGCGCGCTCGCACGCGCGGGGGTGGCCGGGAGGCGGGCCGGCCGGAGCGCGGCTGCGGCTGCGCGCAGGGCCCCGTGGGCCGCGGCTGGACCGGGGCTTAGGGGCGGGGACGCGGGGCTGCGGGCGTGGCCGGGCGCGCGCGCGCGCAGCGCAGCGGACGCGCGTCCTGAGTGAAAGGAAAGGAGGGGCAGCGGGTGACGGTGCGGGAGCCGCTGCCAGCGCCGGACGGGACTCGGCGGCCCGGGCCCAAGGGCAAGGTGGGCGAGAGGCCAGATCCGCTGCCCGGACCCTCGGACGCGGCCCCGGCCCGAGCGGCTGCGCTTTCTGGCGAGGTTGGGGAGGCGCCGCCGGCCCCAGCAGGGGAAGATGTTCAACGTGGAGTCGGCGGAGCGGGTGGAGCTGTGCGAGAGCCTTCTCACTTGGGTATGCGATGGCCGGCGGGGCCGGGAAGACACCCCCCCCTCCCTCCCTCAGACCGCTTTTCCGGGATTTCCCCCCACCCCACCCCCCTGTGCTCGTCGCGGGGGGCGAGTGCCCAGGACTGCGGTGCCGTCACATCCGGGGCCTGGGGCGGGCGGAGCCGGGGGGTGAAGGCTAGGGAGGCCGCGTCTGCACCCGGGGCCGGGCGGGGGTCGGCGGGGAGGTGCCGGGCACGGGAGGTTCAGCCCGGGGTCCGACGAAGGCTTCCCGGGTGAAGTCTTGAGGTGTCGGCCCGGGGGAGGCTAATGATGGGGTGCAGGCGGCACTGTAATTAGGGTTGTTTGCAGCTGATGAGGCGCTGGCGCCTCTCGCTCCCGGGGACCCCGGAGAGCTGCTGCTCCCCGCCCCCGGGGCCGCCGACGGAGGGGGGCACTCGGGACCCCCGGTTGCGATGCTCCTCGTCTTTGTGGTGAGGTTCGCGGGGGATGGAGCGCAACCCCCGGAGGGCTGAGCCGGCCACGCTGGAAAAGCAGAAGTGCTTTTAAGGGAAGGGTAGGGAAAAAGACAAAAAGGCACCCAGAAACACTGTTTAAAATGCGAGATGCACTTGAGCGATTGGAGAGGAAGCGGTGTGGAGGCAGTAACTAAAGGCAGGGAAGATAGAGCACTGATCTAGAAGGTGGTTTGGGGCTCTGCAATGGAACTCGACATCTCTCACTGGCAACGTTGTGGAATTCTCATGTTAAATTACTCTAAACGTTTGTTGAAATCCTCACGTCCTTATGTAAAAAAAAAAAAAATGTGTTCGATTATGATGCCAAAATTCGTGCCTTTAGCAGTCTCTTGGAGAGCTGGACAGAAATCCCAGGCCTGGGTGTGTTTCTCACTCGGTGGTGTCAGTGCCTGGTGTGTGTGTGCGGACAGGTTGTCAAGAGCCACAGGAGACACCTAGTGCTTCTTTCTTGGAGCATTCGTCTTATTGCCGAAAATGTTAACTACCTTTTTTGTTTTTAGAATAAAACACGACTATGTTTATGGAGGTGATGAACTCATAATGTTAAAAGTAAAACACAAATGTCAAAGAAATTCTTTTAGCGGTGCCTTGGGTTACAAGTTCAGATCCCTGGAGTATAAATTTCACTGGCCTGTGTGGGGCACTCCTGTGGAAAGGTTAGAGAGACATTCCTAGGTTGGTTGTAAAAAAAAAAGTAATGAAACTAGTTTGAGGTTTTCATAATTTGGCTTGTGCCATGAATCAAATTATGTCTTTTGGAACAATACATACAATGTCAGAGCTTGATAATACTCATTTACTTTTATATTAGGCCATCCTCGGGTTTTCAGAGAATGTTTGCAGTAATATTAACATACAGCTTACACCTGTAATGGGTCCCAAACTTCAGGCGGGGGGATGGGTTTCACTGCTGTATTTTAGAGGAGGAAAAACCCCCAAAACGATAAGCTGCACAATCTGGCCAAGGTTTGACTAGGCAGAGCTGAGAGATAAAGAAAGGACATTAACACATTCTTTGATACTGTGGTTTGGCAGAGGTTATACACAGAAGATTAAGGATCTTAAGATGTGCAAAGTGGAGCCTTCCTCCACGCTAGAAAAAGAGGCAAGAGGGCAAAGATGAGGGAGCTAGTTGAGTTGGAAGTAGGGCTGCATTGTTTCAAGTCTAGAAAGAGGTGTCATGGAAACAAAGAGGTGTATTTCAGAGCCATCAGCAAAAAAGATGGCAGTGCAGTTATTTGATTGAGAAATGCTAAAATAGTAAGAGGAAGAATCAGGGAGGGAAGTTTGAAGGGGTTACTAACAAGCCCACAATGTGAAAGCACCTCTATAGAATCTGGTAAAATGTCAAAACAGCTAATCCAGGCTATCAGCTGTGGAGGGAGGTCACAGGAATAAGGCATTGGAGAAAGGCTTTTTGAAATGCCACTGGAAGGTTCATCAAGCAAAATTTCTGGAGAAGAGAAGATTAGAGATCAAAGTTCACACAGAGATGTACAATTCTGAGATTTGGAAACATTATAAAACATTGCACATTGAAATGTTTCCAAAGGAAGTTGAGTTTAATGCTTTGTTTGTTCTCTTTGTCATTATAAATGTTTATGTGGAAAATGTGTGAGGTAGCTGAAAATGTACATTGTCTCATAGCTCCCCTTATGTCTGGAGGCCAGATTAATGCTTGAACACAGTTCTAAAGTTAAATAGGAGGGAAAATTGTATACAATACACTCCAAAGAAAAGATTCCCATTTATAATAATTTATTTTTATTTTTTAATACATTTTATTGATTTTTTTACAGAGAGGAAAGGAGAGAGATAGAGAGCTAGAAATGTCAATGAGAGAGAAACATCGACCAGTTGCCTCTTGCACACCCTCTACTGGGGATATGCCTGCAACCAATGTGCATGCCCTTGACTGGAATCGAACCTGGGACCCTTCAGTCCACAGACTGACGCTCTACCACTGAGCCAAACTGGTTTTGGCTTAAATATATATTTTATTGATTTTTTTTTTTTTTTTTTTTACAGAGAGGAAGAGAGAGGGATAGAGAGTTAGAAACATCGATGAGAGAGAAACATCTATCAGCTGCCTCCTGCACGCTGGGGATGTGCCCGCAACTAAGGTACATGCACTTGACCGGAATTGAACCTGGGACCCTTGAGTCCACAGGCTGACGCCCATTTACAATAATTTATAATAATAAAAGCATAATATGCTAATTAGACCAGACAGCTGAACATCCTTCCTGATGTCCTTTGGACAAAGTCGCAGGGGCTGTGAGGACTGAGGGCAGGCAGCCTTGGTGGCAGCAGCAACAGCTGCAGGGTCATGGTGGTGGCGCCTTCCCCTGATCAGCCCGATCACCTCCTTCAGTAGGACATCCCCTTAGGGCTCCCAGACTGTGAGAGGGGGCAGGCCAAGCTGAGGGACACCCCCCCCCCCTCCAGTGCACAAATTTTTGTGCACCAGGCCTCTAGTTTGAATATAAATACACGGACAACTTGGTTGTGTGGTTACTTTGCATAAACAAGGCAACTGCAGCACTCAGCAAAATGCAGACAGCTGTCAGTAACATAGGAGATGTAAGAACTCAAAGTTCAGTCGGGGTGATTCTGTCTGTGAGCAGAGGTCTTCCATACTTCCAGTCTCTCCTTGTTCAGTTACTGAAGATCATAATTATGATCCTGAATCTCAAATAAAAGTTTAACTACATAGCATTTGCTTTGAGGTATGAGGTACATAGTACATTTTAGAAGTTCTTCCACTAGAAATGGTAAAAATAAAGCTCAGCACTTAAAGGGATGGCTGTTAGTCACCTATGCAGAATTCAGTTCTGTGGAATATATCATTGCCCCAAATGCTGGTTAAAATGCTATTGTATCAAAGAGTTGAATAGTGCAAGAACCAGATGTTTCAATTTTTTTTTTTGAAAGAGGAATGCTTATGGAAAGACATAGTATCACCCTACCAAAGGAAAACATCTTAAGCTTAAATTCCAAGTCGAAGTTTATACTACAAGCAAGTTCAGCAAGATGTGCTTGAAAATTTCCACTCTACCTCCTCTCCCCACCCTCTGAGTCAAAAATGGATTCCTACCTGTTAGAAAAATTTGCCCTGCCTACTGCACCTGTCAAGCCTAATTTCTTGAACTGTACATGAAAAGATTGCTTTTTCCTACATTGTAGAGACTGAAAAACCAGAAAGAATCTGAGATGTGACCAGTTAATGACAGGAAGCTAAGTGGGAAAAGATCATTCCATAGGCTCAGTGCATTTCTTCTGGGAAACTCAGTAACATTAACATCTCCTTATAATTCTCATATTACTTATTTAGTAGCCTATAAAATGCACACTAGTGTGTAAAATTATGGAGGATATAATTTTTATGGTGGGTATAATTTATCTTCCGCATTCCTTCTCTGCTTTGCCTAAGTCCATTCCCAAACAGTTTTTTTCTTCTGATGGACAAGTAAAGAAATCAGATGTACAACAGTTAAAGCACATATACTTTTTTAAACTTTTTTTTTTTTTTTTTAAGTTGGGGGTTGGTACAACGTGATAAGAGTATAGGTTCTGGAATTAGGCCACCTGGGTTCAAATTCTGATTTTTGTTTTATACTCACTGAGGGTGACTTTGGACAGGTAATTTCACCTCTGTGCTCTGATTGCATTCCATTTAGATCTAAGAAGTGGCTTTTATGGTCACCTTCGTTGAAGTGCTCGTTAAAACACTGAATGCAAAGCTCCACGTCCAGAGTTTGTAATCCCATAGTACCGATATTCTGCATTTCCAACACCTTTCCAGGTGATGCGATCGTTAGTAGCCTGGGACCTAACCACACTTTGAAAACCACTGCTCTACAGCAGAGTTGGTAAATGTTAGCATTATGGATGTTTTGGGCTGGATAATTCTTTGTTGTGGTCTCTGCCTGTGCATTCATTATAAGATGTTTAGTAGTAGCATCCCTGGCTGCTACCAACTAGATACCAATAGCATCCATCTAGTTATTACAGCCAAAAATGTCTCATAGGGAGTAAAATTGCCCTGGTTGAGAACTTCTGCTCTAGAAACACTAATTCCAGGTGATCTCATGCTTTACTCTTCACATTTTTAGGGGGGAGGGTGATGGGGAGATTGGGTGGTATTAAAACGGCTTCTTGGAATAAAAAGAGAGGTTTTGGCTCGTCAGGTAGAATGTTATGCCTTAATTCTTTTTATTGTACTGTTATGCTGAAATATCTTGTAGACATATAATCCAATCAGTAAAAATGTGTGTGAAGCCGAGACTGGTTTGGCTCAATGGATACAGCGTTGGCTTGAGGACTGAAGGGTCCGGGTTCGATTCCAGTCAAGGGCATGTATTAATACCTTGGTTGCGGGCATATCCCCAGTAGGGGGTGTGCAAGAGGCAGCTGATTGATGACTCATAGATGTTTCTAACTCTCTATCTCTCTCCCTTCCTCTCTGTACAAAATCAATAAAAATATATTTTAAAAAAAAAAGAAAAAAAAAAAGAGGAACACTTGGGACTCCAGCAGCCCTCAGTCACAGTTGGCCCCCCCCCCAAAAAAAAAAAATGTGTGTGAAGACAGATGTGTTTATTTCCGAGGTCTTTGCAAGGTGAGCAACAGCAAGAATTCATTTAATGATACTAATTCTCAACAGAATCATATGGTCTTTATACAGAAGTAGCCAAAAGCAGGTTTACAGTTATGAGCACACAAAACTATTTTTGTAATATTATTTATTATTGTATTTTTCCTATGAACAACTATAAATCTACAGGGTATGTCCTCACACACTGTAAAATGCAGATCGCCTGACCTCACTCTGCTGCTTATTCCCCATTGCTCTTAGGATCAAGTTCTAACATGGATAATGACGTTTTGCACAAGAATGCTTCCTCTTTAACCTGGTCTTTCACAATTTACTCTTTTCCCTCTTCCTCCCATGTCTACACAATCCATACTAAGCTTCTTTTCTCTCCTAGATTGCATCCACTCTCACTTCTAAACTTGCTGTTTGCATTTTCTATAATGCTGTCATTTTACTAACCTATAAACTGAGAGCGTGGCCTGTATCTGTCTATCCTCAGTGATTTATATCCTTCTAAGTCCTGGCTGAACTGCTGGCTGTAATCATTGCTGGCTCAGCTGTATCATCTTACTCATGGAAATAATATCTACTATTTTTTGGTCACATCATGTTGACTAAGACACAGTTCTAATGCACAGTACATTTATTTATTTATTTTTATTTATTTATTTATTTTATTAATCTTTATTGTTCATATTATTACAAAGGTTCCTCATTTCTTCCCCCCTCCACCAGGTTCCCACCCCATCCTCCGACCCCTCCCCATCCCCCATTGTCCTCATCCATAGGTGCAGTTTATGTTCAGTCTCTTCTTCCCTCCCTTTCCTCAATAGTAAATCCCTTTTCAGATAGTAAATCAGTTACTTAGCATTTTCTCAAATCAACAATACCTCCACATGCCCAATGATACATTTCACACAAAAGACATTTCCCAATAGGTCCACCAGCCTCATCCAGGCCCCACCCAAGGCACTCACAGATCAACACCCCAGCCCTATACTAACTCAACACATCCAGATCTAAGCCTTCATCACTTGATTCAGCAGACCCTCAAGTTCCCATGAAAGTTTCCAGCCATGTCTTAGAAGCAGCCATGGGGCAGGGGCAGGCGAGGAGCGAGCTGTTCCGGGCCTGGCTGCTCAGGGCCTGGCCTCTGTTGCTCTGGTTCGTTCCACAACCAGCTGCTCTGGGTCTGGTCACTGCCGCTCCGACCTAGTTGCTCTGGACTTGGCTGCTGCTGCTCCGGGCCTGGCCGCTCCCAGCCTGGCAGCCGCTTAATGCACAGTACATTTAAAATCAAAGTGCATTGACTGTCTAACCTAACCGTAGTGTGACTTCTACATTTGTATACATATTTTTGTCTGTGTATAAGAAATCTCAATCTGGCTAGGCTTAAACATAACAGGAGACTTTCTCACATAACAGGAGACTTCAAGGTTTTGTGTTTTTTTTTTATGTAGTGGCTTAATTTTGGCCTCCAGGCCTTAGTTTTCCTAAACCTCTTCTCTGCACTCCACTGCATTGGCCTCATCCTGAGACGGATTCCCTTAAGAGCCACAAAGTGACTGCTAGCGGCAGTTGAGGGAACATATTTATTCACATCAAGAGGAAATTGGTTATTCTTTCCCAGAAGTTCAAGTAAGCATGCCCTTGCATCTCTTTGATCCAAATTGTCTTTGCCTTATTATACATCCCTGAGTCAGTCATTGGTAGCGGCAGATCTTGGATTGATCATCTGTGAGTAGAATGGATGTTGCGAAGAACACCCAGTGTTCTCCATATTTCTCTTTTGCCAAAGGGAAAATTTTACAATAATAACCTGCAGGAAATTTCCCATAAGGGAAAATCTTCCCAACGCTTCTAACTCTTGAAGTTTATTACCACTCCCAAGATGTGGTACTCACAAAAAGAAGTCTAAGAAGTCTTCGATATAGTTAACCATGGAATCTTTTTTCCCTTCAGATCCAGACATTTAATGTGGATGCACCATGCCAGACTGTGGAAGATTTAACGAGTGGGGTTGTGATGGCCCAGGTTCTTCAAAAAATGTAAGAATAAACTGCTCTGTCTCTTTGTATATACTTATACACTAATATGTGCTTAGATGAAGACATGGACAAAAAATAAAGTGCTTACATGACATGTGTTGTACGTAATATAAGAACTGTAAGCAGCAGTAATATTTTTATGGCATGTACTTGTATAGTTACAAATTGACTGCAAGTTTAATTAGGGCTGTAATAGTTATAATACTCCAATGGTTTTAGCAGAATTATTTGTTCTTGTGCATAAGCTTGGCAGAAATTTTTATGTTAGTAACAAGATTTTGCCATCCTAGAAGAATCTCGGAGACTCACTTCTAGCAATAATGCTGAAATGTAACAGTGAGGTCTTCCCTGACCACCCATGTGAAATAAGCAACAAACATTCCCCTGTGCTTTTATCCCTTTTGACCATTGTATTGTTCTGCAAAGTATGTTAGCACTACCTGATATGCCACATATTTGCTTGTTTATTGGTTATTTGCTGTGCACTCGCACATACACACACACACTGTGAATTCCACCTAGAGGTAAGGTATTTATTTTGATTATTGTTATGTCCTCACACCTTAGTCAATGCCTGGTGTTTGGTTGGGCCATATGAAAATGACCTTTTTTTGTAGATAAAAGATGGTCAAATAGCAGCAATTTCTTATGGTTTAATCTGCATAATGGATGCTTATGTTTACTGAATGACTAAGTGAAAGAAATATTTATTTGGGTTATATAAAACATACCCGATTCCTTCCTTCTAAGTACTTTGAAATCATAATCGTTGTATGGCTGTCTTCAACTTTTGACCTGGGAATTTTTCAAATGAAGAATTACCTGTGAATTTAAGAATTCATTAGGTCTGATGCAATTTGGGCGATACTTTTGTCTTCTGAATTCCTGAGCACTTGTCATCCTGATATTAAAAGATTTACATATGACTAAGGAGGATTTCCTGCATTTCTGTTGAGAACCAGTGTCATCATTAAATGAGTTCTTGCTGTTGCTCACCTTAAAGTGAGCCTTATACAACTGCCCGTCTGAGAAGCAGCTCAAGTGTCTGCATTTCAGAGACTCTCTGTGCCTTTAGCATTAGGGACTCATGCTTGAAAACTATAGTTTGCTATTGCTTTCTTGTGGAACTTACATAGCACATCTTTCCAGCTCTACAGGCACACACACTTTTTGATGGAGCTCAAGAAGGCTCATCTGAGGCCTGACCAGAGTGATCATGTGATTATCATGGTTACCTCTGAATGGTGCCCTAATAACTTTTAGCCTTTGAAAGGTCTAGAGAGTTTCATTGAAGTTCTTTTTTTTTATTATTGATATTTTACAGAGAGGAAGGGAGAGAGATAGAGAGCTAGAAATGTCTATGAGAGAGAAACATCGACCAGCTGTCTCCTGCACACACCCCCACTGGGTACATGCCCTTGACCGGAATCGAACCCGGGACCTTTCAGTCCGCAGACCGATGCTCTACCACTGAGCCAAACCGGTTTCGGCTCATTGAAGTTCTTAATAAAAATTATTTGTGGGCATGTAGACATAGCTAAGTGAGCTTTCCATGTATATGTCAGTAGATGAATATTTTTAAAAATATATTTTATTGATTTTTTACAGAGAGGAAGGGAGAGGGATAGAGAACTAGAAACGTCGATGAGAGAGAAACATCGACCAGCTGCCTCCTGCACACCCCCCACCGGGGATGTGCCCGCAACCAATGTACATGCCCTTGACCGGAATCAAACCCTGGACCTTTCAGTCCGCAGACCGACGCTCTACCACTGAGCTAAACCGGCTTCGGCAGTAGATGAATTTTTTGCCTAAGTTAGTTTGGATAGGATTTCTCTCACTTGAGAGAAATACAGAATATATTAAATCAATACAGAAGAAAGACTATATTGATTTAACAAGTGAAGATCATAAGAAACCATTATATTCTACATGCAATTTAATAATTCCAACATACACTAAGGCATGTGAACAATCTTTTCTCATTTTTGCATTGCAGTGGTTAATTGGTTAACCTCTTCTTGTCTTTTTCTTTCACCCTTTGACCTGTTGTAATTTAATTCAGCACTTCTCAGGATTTTCTTTGTCAGCTTCTCTTTCACTTGGCAGTATTGCCATTAAGGTTCTTCCCTGTATTTTTGTGCCTTGATAGCCCATTTCCTTTTAGTATTTCCCACCCTCCTTTTTCTCCCCAAAGCTTTATTGAAATTAAATTGACATTCAATAAATTGCACATTTTTAAAGTATAGAATTTGATATGTTAAAATATGTACACAGATAATAATTTAATAAAAAAATAAAATAAAGTATAGAATTTGATAGATTTTTACCTTGTAGATGCCCATGAGACTTTTTACCACAGCCAAGATAATGATCATATCAGTCACTTGTGAAAGTCTCCTTCCCCAGACAGGTAGCTCAGTTGGTTAGAGAGTGTCAGCCTTACACGCCAAGGTTGCGGGTTCAATCCCCGGAGAGGGTAAATACAACAAGTAACCACTGAATGCATAAATAAGTGGAACAAGAAATCCATGTTTCTCCTTCTCTCTATCTCCCCCCCACCTCTCACTCTCCCCACCCTCTTCCTTTCTCTCTAAAACACTTTTTTAAAACTCTCTTTAATCCCTCCTTCCTGCCTTCCCTTTTTATCACTATAGATTCATTTGCAATTTCTAGAAATTTATATCAATGGACAGTATATTTTCTTTTTTGAGGAAAAGGGTGTGGCCTTTTTCTTGCAGTACAATTATTTGGGGATATGTGTATGTTTTTGCCCTTACTTATAGTTTGTACATACTCCATTATATGGCTATTGCATGATCTGTTCATCAGCTAATAAACATCTGAGTTATTTTAGTTTTAACCTATTAGAGTTAAAGCTGCTGTGAGCATCAATGTACAAATCTTTGTGCAGACAAATGCTCCCATTATCCTTGGGTATGTATAGCTAGGTTTCAAACATTTAATGGCAGGGAACCAAAATATTTTTTTATGTAATTAAAAGAAAATAGACTTAAGAAACAAAATATCTATAAAAATACTAAGGTTTGCTAATAAAAATGCCATTCTAAGGAATGGAATAAAAATACAGTGTTTGTTTTAGACTACACTTTAGTTTGGCTAAGTTCAATAAGAACATTGAATACTTTTAGCAGTAGAAATAAAATTTAATTTTTTTATTTCCTCTGAAGGCATTTGACTGGTACATAAGTTACAGCTAAATATGCTGGTACTGGCAAAATCTAAGGAAATGGTTTTGTAAGTTTTGTTTTTCTTTTTTAGCAGCAGTCAGGACATAGCTATCTTTAGCTCCTTACTCATGAAGAACACTCCCAGTAAGATTATCTGTTGTTATGTCCATATCTGTGCAGAACTAAAATCTTTTGAGATTTTGGAGAAAATTACTTTTATGTTGTTTTATCCTAGCCAGAGAGCATCAATTAAGGGCTACTTAGAAAACATTGCTGAAATTGTAACTACTTATCAAAACAAAGTTATGACTAGATTCCTGCATAGTGAGTCAAAGTTTATTACTAAGAAAAGTCCTACTGAATATAAAAAAGCTGTAAACTACGATTCTTGCTATATTCTGCACAAGTAGTACATTGGAAGTTTATTAAATGAATGTGCTATCTCTTTCCAAATACATTTCAGTCCACAAATATTTATAGAGAACCTGCTATGCGTTGGACAGGAGATATTGGACAGTTCTGCAGTGAACAAAACATAGAAAAACATTTTGTGGTCTTGAACAAATAATTTCTTAGAGCATCAGTTTTAGAACCTTTGAAATGAGGATCATGCTGGGCTAAAAAGTTTTGTTCTGTTTTTCTTCCTTTCTAGTGTTGGGAGATTTTCCTAAGAAAAATAGCCATAAGTATATTCAGGTTCTGTTCTTGTTTCAGTTTGTCCACACAAATGTTATCTTAGATGTTAAGCCTTTTGCAAATAGAAATGGTGTCCAACTTTGCCTAACACCTAGTATTATAATATAAACTGAGAAAAATAGGTTCTCAGTTTATATTATTTTTAAAAATTGATATTTTAGAGACGGTATTGGTGGCATTTGAAGTATTAAATGATGGTGGTCATTGAAATATTAGTTGAAAATTTTATTTTAACCTTAACAGTATATTTCTTTTGTCTATTTAAAATTACATCTATTTTAAATTTTTAGATATTAGTCTGGTATCTACAGGTTATGTTAATTCCAAGTTAGTGTATTTAGCTATAATTTGTTTGTAAACTATAATTATGTTATTACTTTTTATCTTTTAATGAGCCGAAAACAGTCAAGTTGATTTTAGAGAAATCTATAATTGTATCTGGTCTCATGTACTGAGCTATTCAATGACTGATATGTGGCAAATACATTTTTATGTTGCAATTAAGTGGTGATATGGGATGGGTTTCAATTTTCTTTTTTGTTTGTTTTTACCTTGATAGTTACATGATCTTAATGTACTAGCTTTTTCTTATTTGTAGAGATCCTGTATATTTTGATGAAAATTGGCTAAACAGAATCAAATCTGAAGTGGGAGATAATTGGAGGCTAAAGGTATTTTCTTTCTTTTTTTCTATCTGTAAATTAAAATTTTACTTGGTGTATATAAAATTTGTTGATTTTTTGATCAGATGTGTTCAGTAAGCTTTAGAAACTTAGGGAGTTTTTAATGAAATAATCTAGATTTGAAGATTGGAGCTAACCTGAAATTGCTCACTAAAATGTAATGGAAAGTAGTAAAGTAGAGTGAGCCAGAGTGCTTATGTCTGTATCACAGCTCTGCCATTTACTATCTGTGGGAAAGTCTTTTAACTTTTCTATGCCTCAGTTTCCCCATTTGTGAAATGAGTATTGTGATAGAACCCACTTTATAGAAATAAATGAGTTAATGTATGTAATGTACTTAGCATAATGCATGGAATATGTAATGGTAACTGCTAGTGTTAATAATGAGAAAATATTAGTAAGTATAATTTAAATCAACACATTGATTTAAAAAATTTTATTGACTGATTGATTTTAAGAGAGAGAGGATGAGAGAAAAAGGAAATATTGATTTCTTGTTCCTCTTATTTATGTATTATTGGTTGATTCTTGTCTGTGCCCTGGCTGGAGATCAAACCTGCAACCTTGGCATTTGGGGGTGATTCTCTAACCCAGTGGTCACCGTTGGTCTGCAAACCACTGGTGGTCTCTGAGGTCCCACAGGTTGGTGACCGCTGGTTTAAGGAAACCTTTGGGCAGTGATCGCCAACTGGTAGTCTATAGGTCTGAAAGGTTGGAGAGCGCTGCTCTAACCAACTAAGCTACCCAGCCAGGGCCAGTGAACACATTGCTTTTTTAAGGCATTCTAATTTAAAATGTTCAAATATGAAAAAAAATGAACCTACTAAAATAAAGTATCCTATATAATAAAACCCTAATATGCAAATCAACCGAATGGAGGAACGACTGGTTGCTATGGCCTCACTGACCACCAGGGGACAGATATTTAAACGCAGGAGCGGCCCGCGGTGGTCAGTGTGCTTCCACAGGGGGAGCACCGCTCAGCCAGAAGCCGGGCCCATGGCTGGCAAATGCAGCGGCGGTGGCAAGAGCCTCTCCCGCCTCCTTGGTAGAGCTAGGGACCTCTCGGCAGACATCCCCTGAGCGGTCCTGGACTGCAAGAGGGTGCAGGTCAGGCTGAGGGGCCCTTTCCCCCCTCCAGTGCACAAATATGCACCGGGCCTCTAGTATTATATATTTTTCATGTCTCCAAGTTTTTCTGGAAGTATAAACATTAGTTTATATGTGAAAAAAATGTTAATAAAGTTTTCAGGATTTTTTTGTTTTGTTTTTAATTTAAAATGTCTGTGGTTAACCACTGGATCGCATTGCTGTGATTCAGCCTCTTTTATTTTATGGTCATAGGTTCTGCTGCCTTTTGTCCTAGGACATCCTCAGCTACTAACATTGGCTAGGAACTGCAAAGTAGATAATCAACAGAATCATATTATATGCACATTTAATTTAACACAAATGCAACCATATGAATTGTGTAAAAAAAAAAAAAAAAGAGGAAAAAATAATGGCTTACAATATTAGCACAGGTGATTCTGCCTGTCATTTCATCCAGAAAACATGGCCCTTGAATCTGTTTTCTGGAGTGAGTGAGTGGGAGACATCTGTATGTTGGTCTCTCATCCTGTCTGTTTCTAGGTTACTTCTTATAGCAGAAGTATCTTGCAATGCAGAGTGTTACCCTAGCATTTAAAGATATGACTTTTTAACCTTATGGCTCTTAAATATTTATTTTAGTGCTCAATTGAAGAAACAGCAATATTTTCTGACATTTTCTGACAGTGGAGGAATTTGGAAACATATATCATAGGTTACTTTAAGAGATTTCCAGCCCTAGCTGGTTTGGCTCAGAGGATAGAGCGTTGGTCTGGGGACTGAAGGGTCCCAGGTTTGCTTCCAGTCAAGGGCACATGCCTGGGTTGTGGGCTCAATCCCCAGTAGGGGGCTTGCAGGAGGCAGCCAGTCAATGATTCTCTCTAATCATTGATGTTTCTATATCTCTCTCACTCTCCCTTCCTCTCTGAAATCAATGAAAAAAAAAAAAAAAAAAAAATATATATATATATATATATATTTTTTTTTTTTTTTTTTAAAGAGAGATTTCCAAGGGTAGTCCAGCTGACATTGCTCAGTTGCTAAGCATAAGCCTATGAACCAGGAGGTCACGGTTGGATTCCCAGTCAGGGCACATGTCTGGGTTGTGGGCTATATCCCCAGTAGGGGGCATGCAGGAGGCAGCAATGATTCTCTCTATTCATTGATGTTTTTATATATATCTTTCTCTTTTCCTCTCTGAAATCAATAAAAATATATTTTAAAAGAGAAAAGATTTCCAAGGGTAATATTTACCTAATGCTTTTACTGGTAGAACTTAACCTCCATATAAGATGCAACTCCATTTTTCTATAGAAAACTGCATAGAACTTAAGTCTTCATTAAGAATGGTACATTTTTTTTCTTTAGCTGCAGAAAATCTGAATAATTTAATCTTACTGTTAAATCTCACTTACCGTCCAATTTTGGTCCTAATATTGAAATTTTAATATTATTAGAAGCTTTAATTTGTTAAATAAATATCTTAGATTAAATAAATTAAATTTAAATAAATTTAAAAAATATATATATATATATATATATATATATTATTGATTTTTTTACAGAGAGGAAGGGAGAGAGATAGAGAGTTAGAAACATCGATGAGAGAGAGAGTCATCTATCAGCTGCCTCTTGCACACCCCCTACTGGGGATATGCCCACAACCAAGGTACATGCCCTTGACCGGAATCGAACCCAGGACCCTTCAGTCCGCAGGCCGATGCCCTATCCACTGAGCCAAACCAGTTTTGGCAAGAGTCCTTTTTTAATTATGGTAATTCAAATATGCTATTAAATTTTCTTTTTTTATATTTTCTTTATGATTAACTTGTTTGATTAGTTGATTTAGAAATTTTTTGTTAAACTGTATTTTGATTTATCCTGTTGTTTTTCTGTCTCTTTAAACAGATAAGCAATCTAAAGAAAATTTTAAAAGGAATCTTGGATTATAATCATGAGGTAAAGACTTTTCTCATTCTGCTTGGAAATATTACTATAGGATAATTTAATTTTATAATAGTTTCAACTAAAGGAAAAATTATCTCAGAATTAGTAATCAGTTTATCTTTCATAGTTCCTAGGATGTGGTTTAAACAACCATATTATATGGTTCCTGGATAAATAGTTTTCACTGTAATATGAATAATTTATAGTAGGTAAATCTAATTTATGTCAAACCTTGCTTTCTGCTATTTATTATCTCCTTTCTTCCCTTACTTGTGAATGTGGTTTAGAGTCTATGCATTATTATAATCAACTCCCTTAAATATTTCCACTGTATTCCTTAGCGGAAATCCCCTCCCTTGATTAACTCAGTTTATCTTCTCAGTCTGCATCAGAACAGTCAAGACATTGCTGGGGGTGAGGGGGTGAAATCAGGCTGTGGACTAGTTTTACCTTAAATTTGTAGTGGACACAACACAGTTTAAAGACCTATGTGATTTCCTTACTGTTTTTTCCCCCACAAGCTTACTTGCATTTATATCTACATTTATACTTACATCATCTACCCTTATCTCAGTATGTGACTCTACCATCCATCCTACTGCTCAAACCCAAAACTTACAAATCACCCTGTAGTCCTTTCCTTCTTTTGAGATCATCAGAAAGACCTATTACTTAAGCCTCCAAATTACAGCTTTTTCCATCTCTACTGCCACCACCCTATATCAAACCATCATTATTAGCGCTTGCTTAGATTACTAGAGTGGTCAACTGGTGACCCTGATTTCACTCTTTCCCTGTACGGTCTGTTCTCTACTCTAAAGCCAGGATGATTTTTTTAAATATAAATTTAATTATGTCATTCTCTAATCAAAGTCTTCTGTGGTTTCCTATTGCATTGAGAATCAAATCCTTCCTTCTTACTGTGAGACACCTCTAACTTCCTCTTACTGCATGACCCCACTAACTTCCTCTTACACTCTTCTCCCCTAACCCATAACACTGCAGCTGCATTCATCCTGCTTCTGTGCTTTTAGGATCTTCATTTTTCACTGCAGGGTTATCAGTCAGAGACCTACCCACTTGTCTGCATATAAGTCACTTCCTTTGGGATCACTCTCATTTCCCCGTAAAGGAATCTTCCATTCTCCTTCCTGGTACAGGTGTCATGCTACCAGCGTTTTGGAGTCAAATAGGTGAAGGTGATGAGGAGGAAACTTACCACTGGGGACATGAATCTATATTTAATCTCCACTCTTACTGGTGCCCCGTGGGTCAGAACTTCACTGGCTCTATGTCAGAGTACACACATCCAGTTTTTCTGGGGATGGTAGTGGGATCAGCAGTACTCAATTTCTTTGCTAAGTACATACCATATACCAGATTGGGGCCTAACTTGCTGTGACTCAAGATAGTTATAACTTAGGTGTATGGGTAAAAATAGAACTTGGGAGTGAGATTGACCGGACAGCTCTGTCCTTAGCAGTGAGATTTTTTTGCCAACAATCTAGTCTTTATCAGATACTTTTTTAGGTCCTATAGGTGTAAATGCAACTCTAATCCCTTTATCTCTATTTAGATTTTAGGGCAGCAAATTAATGACTTTACCCTTCCTGATGTGAACCTTATTGGGGAGCATTCTGATGCTGCAGAGCTTGGAAGGATGCTTCAACTCATTTTAGGCTGTGCTGTGAATTGTGAACAGAAGCAAGGTAATTTATTTGAAGTTAGTATATGCATTTAAAATAATATTATAATATTATTGCAAATTGCTCGCAGCCCCTCGCCAAAGCCAGCCCTGCCCCCAGTGGAGACCCCCACCCCATGGGGGTGAAGCCAGGCTAACCTACAAACCTCACCTAGGCGGGCCTCGCCACCGCCCCCCCCCAGGGGAGCCCCGATCAGGGTAGACCAGCCAGTCCCCACACGTACACCAGGCCTCTGTTCCTATATAATAAAAGGGTAATATGCAAATTGACCCTAAAGGTGGAACAACCAGAATAACCGCTGGACCAGTCACTATTGAGGTACACTGACCACCTCTTGGTCCCTTTCCCCGGCTGGCAGGCTCTGATCGCCTGATGGGGAATAGGGGTAGGTGGCAGGCCTGAGAGTGGGCAGGAACAGCTGGACAGCCGACCTTTCTATCCCTCCCACCCCCCCTGCCGTCAGGTACCAATCACCTGATGGTGAAAGGGAAACGGGGGTGGAATGGGGGGGTTGGTGAGGTGCGTGCGGGCAGGGGCAGGGCCTGAACCAGCTGTGGGCAGCCGGGAAGATGGCCCTGATTGCAGGCCAGGCCTAGGGACCGTACTGCACACGAATTTCGTGCTCTGGGCCTCTAATGTAGATAATGATAATATAGTAGTTCAGTTCAGCTCTTGGAACTTAAATTAGATATTTTAGTTTGCAAGTATGTAGGATTTATTTCACAAATATTTACTGAATTCATGCATTGTGCTGGGGCTATGAACACGGTATCAGACCAAGCAGACATGATACCTTCCTCAGGGAACTTGTACTTGAGTGGAGGTGGAGGACAATAAATAATGCCACATAGAATGAGGTAATCTGCATGGAAGTGAGTGTGGTAATGGGGGGCAGGGAAGTTATTTAAGCAAAGATATGGAGAATGTGGGTTAATAGTAATCTGAATAGTAGAAATTGAATGTCTGAAAGACCTTTGTTACCTTTAAGAAATTAAAAAAGACGACAATTAGAGAATAGTGAGGAGGATAAAGGGAGATGAAATGAAGCAGGATAAAAGTACTTAGGGATTATTCTAAATGACAGTATTTTACTGTTATTTATATGACCCTTGAAGAAGATGGATTTTTTTTAGCCCAAAGGTCTTTCTTCTTTGTTGTACTTCACCTCTAGTGATACAAAACAAATTTTTACTAACTTGCTGCCTGTACTAAGTTTTGGTGTTCTAGTTCTAAGTTTAATAACTGTCAACATTGTTTTTTTGGTTTCTGATTCAGGAATTTTTTTCTAACAAATAAATAACAAAGTATTTATTTCACTTTAGCCCCATTATTAGATTTTAGCAGCCATGCTCTTACAGGAAATTTTAGTTGTTTACTTAATTTAACTCAAGAATTAAAATTTTCTACATTTTGTTTTTTGTATATTACTGCAATGTCTAACAAATTTTAAAAATATATATTTTATTGATTTTTCACAGAAAGGAAGAGAGTGGGATAGACAGTTAGAAACATCGATGAGAGAGAATCATCGATCAGCTGCCTCTTGCACACTCCCTACTTGGGATGTGCCTGCAATCAAGGTACATGCCCTTGACCGGAATTGAACCTGGGACCTTTCAGTCCGCAGGCCAATGTTCTATCCACTGAGCCAAACCGGACCCGGCATGTCTAACAAATTTTTGTAAAAGATTATAAGATTAGTATAAAAAGGTTAAAGACATATTAAATAAACAGATGCTTTGATTTTAAAAGGTGGATGAAAAGTTATTTAATGTAGTTCATTGAATTCAGATAATAGCTTACATATTTATCCTGAAAGGAGATTAATCAGCTCGTGGGATTATCTTTAGTACATAAGTAAGGGTCCTTTGAAGTATCTAGCTATTAATGACTTGGCTAATCATATTTATTAGAGGGAAAGATTAGGAAAAGACAAGGATGTTACTATATGCATAGTCCGGTAGAAAAGAAGACAATTATATTTATCAAGCTTCTCACACAGATCAAGTGTTCTGTTTAAAACCTAGTTTCAGTTTTTCCCTGAAATTATATATAAATGATGAAAACTTTGAAGAGGATTTTAACATCTCAATTATCAGGAGGTCATTCTCTGCTCTCTGGAACATAGTTGAGAGCTAAGAATTAAATGGATTTTTGCATTATTACATATTACCTGGTAATATGTGTACATTTATGACATTAACATAATAAGGCTTACTAAAGTGACTGCATTTACCACATGATCAACATCAGACAAGACATTCAGCCAAATGTTCCCCCATCTACAGAGTGAGTACACAAAACCTGATAGTTACGAGGAGTGTGTGATGTTGTGTATGTGTATTTGCTTTATAATATATAAAGCACTATACAAAAAATCAGCTTTGGCCCAGCTGGTGATGCTCAATGGTTGCACATTGACCTATGTACCAGGAGGTCATGGTTTAATTCCTGGTCAGGGCACATGCCTGGATTGTAGGCTCAATCCCCATTGTAGGGTGTGTAGAAGGCAGTCAGTCAGTGATTCTCTGTCATCATTGAAGTTTCTATCTCGCTCTCCCTCTCTCTTCCTCTTTGAAATAAATACAAATATATTTTTTTAAAAACAAAAATATCAGGGCTTTAAGGTGATTTTTTCAGTTAGAAGTAAGGAACAATTGGTCAGAACATTGAACTATCTGACTTCTCAAATTGGAACATATAAGTGGTGGTAAATTTGAAGAAGCAAAGATTAGTAGTAGAAAAAACACTAATAATAATATTTACTGAGTGTCTCCTTTCTGCTTGGTACTTTACTAGACACTAACAGAACAAAAAATTACTTTTTACAGATTAGGAAACTCAGACACATAAGTATTACATGACTTACCCAAGATTTTGGGCTTGTTAAAGGCTAGGCAAGGACAAAAACCCCTATCTCACATTCAGACTTCATACTCTTCTATTAAACTGTGCTGTAAATTTTGGACCAAAAAGATAAGTTTTCAGGATCAACTCCCTGATATAGCACATCTCATTCTTCAGCATAGTCTCATAGCTCTGCGCCCAATAATCATACATACTTGTATTTGGACCTCTAAGACTTTTACATTATATTTTCACTTTTCAAAAATTGTACATTAATGTAGTTCTCATCATCATCTTATCATTTAGCATTTTACGGTGTTCGCGGGGAAGGGCCTTGACGTGGCAACACCGCTTCTTAACTAACGCTTCCCCTCTCACACCTTACTAATAACTTCCTCACCTCCCTATCTGTTGTCCTCACTCCCAGTAGGCTGTCATGATGTCTTCCTTCCCCATTATCAGCGCCACTGCTTCTTCTCTTCCATGTTCACAGTCTTTATTTTGAGGGTTGTTTTAGTCATTCTAGTTACGCCATTTTCTGCAGTAGCCTTGGAATTCTGTGTTTGGTACGTTGGAACAGAATGTCTAAAAGACACCCTTGCATTTCAGCACTCATTGGGTGCTCCTCTTTAACAAAACAAAAAATTAAATTTGGAAGAAAGGCTTGGTTTTGTTTGTTTTTTACTGAATAGTGCTTTACGTTTCAATATATTCCTATTGTTGGCCTAAGAACAATGCCTGTGATTTAAGTGTGTTGTGTACATTTGTGTTTAACCACACATTTGATTGGGTATAAAGTGTAGTTAGGGCAATACTTTCTTAAAAACATGTTTTTGATTAAAATATTTGGCATTCAGAAACAATGTCAGAATGTCGTACTTGAATAATAAAATAGTACTATCAAAATACTTTTTTCTTTTTAAAAAGTTACTTGTCAAGCAAAGGATTATAGTTTGGTATTCCAAAGACATGCATCTCTTGGCAAAAAGGACAGAACAATTTCACAATTTCACAGTAAGACTCTTTCAAATAACACTTGGAGTGCTGAGACAAGTTTTTGTGTTTGTTTTTATATGTGTGGCAGGATGACACTAAAATTTCCTAATTATTTTGCCCTTCTAAATGTTTCTTATCCTATATAATAAAAGGCTAATATGCAAATTGACCGAACAACGAGTCGCCATGATGCACACTGACCACCAGGGGCCAGACCCTCAACACAGGAGCTGCCCCCTGGTGGTCAGTGTGCTCCCACAGCAGGAGCACCGCTCAGCCAGAAGCCCTTAGCCGGGCTCATAGCTGGCAAGTGCAGCAGTGGTGGTGGGAGTTTCTTCCTGGGCCTCTAGTTAAAACATATTTACCATTTTTATTGGAATCTAGCTGGCCTATTAAATTTTTTTATGTTTAATGTCACTTTTGTCATCCATTGTTGGATTTGAAAATAATAAAAACTATTTCCAGGGCTTTTTAAGGAGGCAAGCCATTGTTTTCCCCCAATTTTGTCACCACTGAGCTAAGAGATCCTTTTCTTTTTCAGCAATGGTAAGGGGAAGATTGATGAAGTTGATCCTTGAGCTTGTTAGAGATGTGAATCATTATTTTAAAAGCTCAGGGTTATCAAATATTTGTTTACCTGTGATATCAGTTTCTATGTTAAATTCATCTTAATTCTTTCTCCTAAGCAGCTTTCAGATCCATTAAGATTTTTCTTTTCTATAGTAGAGAATATTAATGTTGGAATTATACACAATTCAGTGCTTCTATGTTATATAAGAATAAAGCTCAGACTTGAAAATTGGTGTGTTTTTTTTAACATATAACAAAGAATAATGTGAAAGTAAGATAATTTTTAGATTTTAAGAACAGTAATATGTAGTTTTTTCCACCCTGGCTTTAGGGATTACCATTTCATAGCTTTACATTCCTAGCACCCTGCATTCCTGTGACCATTAGCTGTAGCCTCAACTTTATAAGGAATGGTTGGGGATGGGTTTGGGTGACATGTTAAGGAAAGATAAATACTGTAATTTGCAGCCTTTACATATGGCACATATGTGCAGTCATATGAGGAATGCCTAGGCAGAATCGAAACACTGGCAACTCCTTATAAGAATTCGTGGTTAGACTTTGCTCCCTTGACTCTCTTTAACTTGAACAGTGACATCCCAGATTGTTCTTGTTTTCAGAGTACATCCAGGCCATTATGATGATGGAAGAATCTGTTCAACATGTTGTCATGACAGCCATTCAAGAGGTATGTTGGAGCTTTGTGCTTACAGCTTGTGAGAAAATAAAGGAGCAAACATGAGTTTAAGAAATAGAAGTAGAAATTTAAAAGATTCTCATTTAAAAAATTTTTCTCTTTACACTTAAGCTAGAAGTTATCTCATTTTTATTAAAGGAAGTCATACTCATTTAAATCTCACAGTATAACTTGCTCAAGTTCACACAAGAAGTAGAGGCATAGTTAGAACTAAGATATAAGCATTCAGAATCCAAAGCTCATACCAGTGACCACTCTGCCGTAGTGCCTCAAGATTGTTTATTTCAGAATTATTTCTTAATAAAAATTTTTTAATTTTTTAAAAATTAAAAAGCAGAAAAATTAACTGCCCAGCATTAGAGGAATGGATAAGTCTTATAAATTATGGTACAATGATATATTGGCTTATTTTGTAGACATTAAATTTTTGAAAAAAACATAGTGACATAGGGGGAAGGCTTACAATATTTAGGGAAACAGCACAATGAACAGCATAATTCCGTTTCTGTTAAAAATTAAAATTAAGATGAATGAAAACAAATTTGCAAAAATGGTAATCATTGCCAAGTAATGGAATGTTCTATACTCTTTCTTACATTTTCCAATTTTTCTATAATGAGCATTATATGTATAATCAGTAATGTTTTAAAAATTAAAATCTGTGACCAAAAATTTTTTTTTTCCAAAATTTTTTTTAATTTATGACTCTGTCCCAAGGAATTATTTAAAATTTCAGACCAAGATTGGGCATAACAGTTACTGAATTTCCCCCACGTTTCTGTTATTTTATATTATCGGAAATGTAGGGGGGGAAAGTCTATCCACTGGTGAGCAAGTAATTAAAATATGATACTTCCATTCCATGGAATATTATGTAGCTGATAAAAACTTGTAAAAAAGAAAAAAACAGCAACACACAAAATAGGAGATATCTTATGACAAAAGGAAAACATTTTAAGCTGTCAAGTGAACAAAGCAACATATAAAATTTGTATGTATAATGAGATTTTAAGAATAGATTACATGTTTACTAAGAGCATATTCCTTTTATTCATTAGCACATACTTGTTTAGTACCTAATATGTAAGAGGAGGTGTAGGTAGGCAGTATGAATATAATTATGAAAAAGTTAGACATGGTCTCTTGACTCACAAAGTGTTAAGTCTCATGGGAGAAATGGCTAAACAAGCAATTCAGATACATTCAAGTCATTCAAAATGAAAAGTGCCATGATGGGGAAAAATATAGGAGTACCTCAAAGGAGTATCTGGTTCTGGTTGGGGACATTAGGGAAGGCTTTTCCAAGAAAGTGACATCTTAGACCGAGCACAGAAAAATGAAATAAGGTAAGGAAAGGGCAAAAATTGTGCTTAAATCCAGGAGACAAGAGAAAGCAAGTCCTGAATGGCATGCTGGGGTATTTAAAGAATGCCTGTAGCAAACTTTGTAAGGTACAAATAAGAGGTGAAACGAGACAAGATCATTAGGATATTGAGCAGTTTTGTTAAGAGTCAAAATTTTGGAAAACAATAGATTTTAAGGAGAAAAGCTATTGAAGTCTGTATCTGGGAAAAATCCGTGCACTGAGAAGAATGGATTGGAGAAAAATAAGTTAGAAAAAGGTAGAGCAGTTAAGAGACTTTTAGCTAAATAATTATATAGTGAATAATGGTGGGAGGTGAACCAAGTTATAGCAGTTAGGGTAGAGGGAATTTGAAAGAGTTGAAAATTACCAGAGCTTGCATCAATTGGTTTGGTGACTGATTGGATTTAGGAGGAGAACAGTAGGTAGCTGAATAAAATTATAGGATTAAAAAAGCTTTTGTAAGATGGTAGACTTTTTATTTAAGGCACATTCTGTTTATATGTGTTTAATTTTTATTGTAGTAAAATATGTATAGCATAAATTTGCCATTACTGGCACTTAGTACATTTCATAATGTTATGGAAACATTACCACTATTTAGTTCCATAACTTTTTCTTCACCACAGAAGGAAGCCCTGTACCCATTAAATAGGCAGTCCTTATTTCCTCTTCCCTGCAGCCCCTGCAACCAGTAATTGGTTTTCTGTCACTGAATTTCCCTATTCTGGATATTTCATTTAAATGGAGTCATTGGATGTGCGCCCTTTTGTGCTCAGCTCTTTTCATTTAACATAATATTTTCAAGGTTGTGTTGTAGCATGTATCAATATTTTATAGCTAAATAATATTCCATTGTCTGGGTATACCACATTTTGTTTATCCATTCATTCATTTGATGGACATTTAGGTTTTCCCACCTTTTGGATATTGTGCTGTTGTCCACATTTACTTGTGTGTTTTTTAAAATGCATTTTTATTTCCTTTAGCTAGAGAAAGGCAGAGGGAGAGAGAAACATCAATCACCTGCCTCTTGCACATCCCTACTAGGGATCGGGCCCACAACCCGAGCATGTGCCCTGACCTGGAATCCAACCAGTGACCTCGTGGTACACGGGATGATGTTCAGTTCACTAAGACACACCTGCTGGGCTGCCCACATTTATTCTTTAAAAATATTTAGAGCTGCCTTTTTTATTTTTTAATAGTATGTCACTTTTCTGTATTCACATTTATTATATGCCTTTTTTTTATTATTATTGATTTCGGGGAGGAAGGGAGAGAGAGAGAGAAATATCAATGATGAGAGAGAATCATTGATCGGCTGCCTCCTGCACGCCCCCTACCGGTGATCGAGCCCAGAACCTGGGTGTGTGCCCTTGACCTGAATTGAACTGGAACCTATCAGTCCACAGGCTGACGCTCTATCCACTGAGCCAAATCAACCAGAGCTAGTGATGCCATTTTTTTTTTTTTTTACTGAAAAACCCATGTTTTTTAAATAGCCACATTTTTAACTTAAAAACTTGTCTTTTTAGTGATAAGAATAAAACTTGGTTCTTGTGACTGGGCCCACAGAGAAAATGAGTATCAGAATTTAGGCCTATAATTTTAAATGAAGGCATTATCTTGGAATGAAAACAAAGTTCCAGGCTGAAAAGTTGTAATGTATAAAAAAATACTCCTTTTACATTTGCATTTGCATTTTAATTTTTATAATTCTATAGTGGCTGGGTGTTCATGTTTGTTGTGTAAGTATATTATATAGAATGTCTTTTTTGCCTCATAGTTATAATAATTTTAATCTTAATTTCAGCTGATGAGTAAAGAATCTCCCGTCTCTGCTGGAAATGATGCCTATGTTGACCTTGATCGCCAGGTATCTAATTCACATTGTTTTTACGCATGCAAAGATTGAAACGGATGATTCAGTTGAAATTGCTTTTGTGATATATATCGGAATAATTCTTTACATTTTACCAAAAATTTAAGAACTTAAGCCACTTATGGATACTACACATTTGTAATTAAATTTGTAACTTGTAAATAAAGTATTATTGCATAATCCACTTTAAAATAAATTAACTTCTTCCTTTTTTTGTAATTTGTGTTTTTTAGTTCTGATTTTTCTTTTTCTATTAGTGATATGTTTCTGTATACTACATTTAACACAATAGATATTTCTCTGGGAAAGTGTATGCATTTTCCATTGGTATACATAATCTTATGATTTATCCTATATAATAAAAGCATAATATGGTAAGTGTTCAACCAATTGATCAACTGTTCAGTTGACCAGTCGCTATGACATGCACTGACCACCAGGGGGGCAGACGCTCTGACCTGTATGTAGGTTAGCTTGCTTCTGGGATCTGGTCAACCTGGACTGGGTGAGATAGTCCTGATTTCCGATTGCCATCTAGGCTGAGGGACCCCACCCATGCATGAATTCATGCACTGGGCCTCTAGTTTATGATAAAAAGATAGTTTACATTTTATTTCATATTATTTTTCAATTAAAGATCTCTCCTCTAACCTTCATACTTAAATGTACTAAGAAACAATGCACTGAGAAACTTAGTCCTATATTTTTAAAGGAACTCTGCAGTGTGTTTTTATGGTTTTAATGGGAGAGTTAATTTGTAATTTTAGTTATTGCATTTCAATAAAATGCAGTTAGTTACATTGTCACTTTCTGTGTTCCAGCTATTCTAGGACATTTGCCCCAAAGCTTGAAGAGAAACCTTTGTGGTCTTTGACTTCTTTCATTTCTTCTCCATAGTTTATAAATGTTTAGCAGGAAAATCTTAGGGCATGCTATAATTTATTATTATTATTATTATTATTGATTTTTTACAAAGAGGAAGGGAGAGGGATAGAGAGTTAGAAACATTGATGAGAAAGAAACATCAATCAGCTGCCTTCTGCACACTCCCTACTGGGGATGTGCCTGCCCACAACCAAGGTCCATGCCTTTGACCAGAATCCAACCTTTCAATCCGGCAGCTCTATCCACTGAGCCAAACCGGCTAGGGCGGGGGATACTATAATTTTAACTCAAGTTGTAATTGGTCCTTCCTTTACTTTCTGGTGTGTTGGGTTCTAAACTTGTTACTCTGAATGAATTTTTTTGTATTTACACAGAGGTTTGGTCACATGAAATGAGAAGCTAATATAATATTACTTTGATCAATTTTTTCTTTTTAATAATTAAGCGATTAATTAGTTATCATTGGTTAATTGTTCATACTTTGCTAACTTAGAATTTATATAAATAATGGGGCACAACTCAGGAATATTTGGTTTGTGTTGAGGATCAGAATAATAAAAGTCTTTTATTTTAAAATTGATATACAAATTAACCTAAAGTTTTAAAATGGCTAAAAAACTTGTATTGAAATACACAAGCTATATATTTTAACAATTGAAACCCTTGACCTCTAGCACATACATATTTTACTAGGGTAAAAAGTCTGTTATTTAAGTCAACATTACTAAGAATCAAGTAGCCCAGATAAAAAATGTGTAGGAAAACTTGATATGCAGAAAGAACCAAATTCAAAATACAGAAAAGACAGATTTTAGAACTAAAAGATATTCAAAGTTAGAAGTGCCTTCTTTGACCCTAGCCGGTTTGTCTCAGTGGATAGAGCATCTGCCTGCAGACTGAAGGTTCCCAGGTTTGATTCCGGCCAACGGCACATGCCTGAGTTGTGGGCTCGATCCCCATTAAGGGGCTTGCAAGAGGCCACCAATTAGTGATTCTCTCTCACCATTGATGTTCCTATCTCTCTCTCCTTCTCCCTTCCTCTCTAAAATCAATAAAAAATATATATTTTTAAAAAAGAAGTGCCTTTGATTCTTGCACAGAGGTTCTTGATTTCTCCCTGTCCCTCGTAAAGAAAAGGAAGATAATTTTTAATTCCTTATTATACAAATGTAATTATTAATTGTTGCCACTTCATATTGAAATGCTTATTGTATCTCTTTGTTTCCAACCAGTTGAAGAAAACTACAGAGGAACTAAATGAAGCTTTGTCAGCCAAGGAAGAAATTGCTCAAAGATGCCATGAGTTGGATATGCAGGTAAGAGTTCTGTGCTATGTACCACCTGCTTGAAAGGTATCACTGTAAATACCACAAAATGTACTGTGTCCTGCCATAAGTACAATTTGTCTACAATGCAACTCTAATTAAAGAAGAATAAAGGAAAACACATTTCTGGTTAAAGATAGACTAAGCAAATACATTAATTTCCTTTCCTGAATATTTAACCATCGGCTTGGATATAAGTAGCATGACACACTACCAGTTTTCACCAATCTCTGAAAGCCAGAAGGCAGTTGGGAATGTCCTGAATAGCTAAAAGGAATAAAGAATATAGTGGCCAGGAAGGGAAGAGCAGTCTACTGAAGCAGAACCCCAGGGTCAGCACAGGTACAAGGGAAGGCTGAGTGAGGCTGCAACTAGAGGTTTTATGTAGATGAGTTAAGTCCCATCAACCCATTGCATATAGAATGACCTATAGCCAGCTTCCCAGTCAGAGCCATCTTCTCCAAAGTATAGGGAGGTTAGATTGAGTATTAGTATTGCAGAGTGAGGTCCTTTACATTTTTTTTCTTCTGGGTTCTGTAATTTACATAAAGGTCATTTTCTTATAGCTAAAGCCCTAAAGTGAAGCCTGTGGTCCCAAATAGCTTCCAGTTACCCTTGCTGTTGACTAATTCTAAATGTGAGGGAAACCTGCTTAACAAAAGATAAAAAAGGATCAAAATAAACCAGAAACTGGCCATAGAGGAAGTGGTGAAGGTTGAAGAGATTTTTTTCCCTTTTAATCTAATACTGCCAGTAAAATTAGTGATACTGTCTGTAAAATTAGGACAAGATGCTATTTTAAAAAAGGAAAACATAGAGATCAAGAAACACTTTAAGTAAACCTAAAATAGAATTGACAAAATAAAAATTCAGTAGAATAATTAAAAGATAAAGAAATCTCACAAATAAAGAAAATAAGAAAGTTATTTTTCTGGGATTACCTCAAAATGAGGGAGCTGGGGTGAGTGTGTCAAGGTATAGATTAAACATAATGGACCGTGTTTTGATATTTGTTAAAACTGGATAATGGTTTCAAAGGGGTGATAACATTTGTACTAGAAGCATTTTACTTTGAAAAGCATAAGAATTGATGATTGCTTTGATGCATATAGGAAGTAGTGTAATCAAAGCACACAGGTTATATAGTAAATAATATTTAGTAATTATGTAAATGTTATTAATCAGAGTTCAGAATTTATACATAAAAGTAGAGTTAATTTTACAAGCAGAATATAAATATTATCTTTGAATAATAAAAAAAAGTTATACATTGGGATTAGCAAACTACAACTTGCCATCTGTTTTTATAAATAAAGTTTTGTAGCATAGCTATACATTCATTGATGTATTATTGTGGCTCTTTTTATGCTACAATGACAAGTTGAGTACTTGTCACAGAGACTTTTGCTCTCAAAGCTTAAAATAGTCACTATTTGAATTTTTTACAAAAATGTTAACTAATCCCTGGTGTCACTGTAACTGCAATGTTTTCCTTGACTCTACCTCCCTGCATGCACTGATCCAGAGAAATGCATGAGAAGGAGTTTGCAGTATAGAAAGAAAAATAATTTAATACTGAATTGGCCAATATGGAGACTTATGCTCTAAAAATCCGACTCCCCAATTGAGTGTGGATTATAGATTATATGTATAAGACAAAATCACAAGACACCATGGCTTAGAGATTTCAGGGTCATGCTGGAACTGATTGGTCAGAGGCGAGGTAAAGGTAATATACATTATTTCTTCAGGTTTTGAGGACAGGGCTGAAGTCTTTTTTCAGATCCCTGTTTGTTCTCATGGGAAAGTGGCCAGGTGGTAATTTCACATTAATGCTCAGGAGCTGAAACCTAACTTAGGTAAAGATACTATCTTCATCCTGACAGAGATCCAAACTGTGACCATTAGTCAGGTCCGGCTCCTGTCTGCTGCTGCCTCAGGGTTTGCTGTTATTGGGGAAAGGCTAGGTCTCTGAGGGGTATATATGGAAAGAGGGATATGATTTTGAGAGCTAGCATTTAAAACTAAATGTAATCAAAGTCATAGGAACCCTTGGTTTCACTGGTGAATGGTAAGGTTGCAGAGAAGTTAGGAGAGAGAAAAAATAAGGGTAGCCCCTAATAGGGGAATAAAGATATATATGTATTACCTTAGTCAATAAAGGAATTAAAAAAAAAAAAAAAGGGTAGCTCTATAACATGAATATGACCTTTAATGTAAACTTTCTGGCTTTTCAACATTTATAATTGTTTTGTAGAGATGTGTTATTAGAAAGTAAAGGTACAGCTGAAACCAGTTTGGCTCAGTAGATAGAGCGTCGGCCTGCAGACTGAAGGGTCGCAGGTTCGATTCCAGTCAAGGGCACATACTTTGGTTGTGGGCACATCCCCAGTAGGGGGTGTACAGGAGGCAGCTGATCAATGATTCTCTCTCATCGATGCTTCAAACTCTCTATCTCTCTCCCTTCTGCTCTGTAAAAAATAAATAAAATGTATTAAAAAAAAGAAAGAAAGTAAAGGTTAGATGATAGAGATTGAGAATGAAAATAGTGCAAGAGTGATGAGGGGTGGGGAGAGCCACTAATGTTCTTGTCTTTCCAAGAAGAGAGTCAAGAACCACTTCTGTGGGGCAACAGTCATTCCATGGCTGGCTCCTTCTTGTCATTCAATCTCAGCTCAAACCTCCTGGTTTATTTGTCATAAAATATTTACTGGGCACTTAAATGTGTCAAGTACTAAATTAGGCCTCCTTGAGAAGTCCTCTGTGGTCAGCCAATGTAAAGTAATCATCCAGGCTCTCATATTATTCTTACTTTAATCCTCTGCATAGCACTTGCCACTCTCATTTTTGCATGTATTTATTAGTTTACTTAATATGTTTTTGTTTATATATTTAATGTGATTTGTTTTGAATATAAAACTATTCAGTGGAATAAGAACTTTCTCTGTTTTAATCATCATGGTATGCCTTGCACCAATAAAATTGCAACGTGCTTAGTATGTAGTAGGCACACAATGAATATCTGAGTGAGTGAATGAATGGTGAATAATTGAGTGAAATGAGTCAGTGAGTAGTTGTTTAAAATTGCAGAAGTGACCAGTGAAGTAGAATGTGATATAACAATCTTTGTGGAAAGGAGAGATGTCAGAAGTTGCTGTGATTTAATTTTTCAGAGGAAGAGTCACAAGATAATGTCTAAAGTTGATAAATCAAGAAATAGTGTTCTTAAATTCTATTTATCAATAGAATTTAAAATAGTTAAAACTAATTGTCTCTTGCGCAGTTGATATGTCTCTGTGGTAGAATGTTGACCCATGAACCATGAGGTCACCAGGTTGGATTCTGGTCAAAGCACATGCCTACTAGCAGACTTGATCCTCAGTGAGGGGGTGCCAATCGATGATTCTCTCTCATCATTGATATTTCTCTCTCTCTCCCTCTCCCTTTCTCTCTCTGAAATCAATAAAAAAAATTTTTAAAACTAGTTGTCCCTTAGAAGTGGAAAATGTCAATAGGAAACTAGCTTTTCATTATAAGCCCCTTTGCCTTGTTTGATATTTTGCTTAAATCGAATTTCTGTATTATTTTTAATTAGTCTCCTTTTTCTGTGTTTGTGAAAAGGATTTCTGCTAAATATATTGAGTTAAAATATTTTAGCAACCTTTGCAAGTCTGATAAGTCTAGCATTAAAGTTTTAGCCTTTATAAACTGACCACATACCAGGTTGTAAAGCAGTTTTTTTTAAGTATATTTTATTGATTTCAGATAGGAAGGGAGAGGGAGAGAAAGATAGAAACATGAATGATGTGAGAGGATCATTGATTGGCTGCCTCTTACATGCTCCCTACTGAAAATCAAGTCCACAACCCAGGCATATGCTCTTCCTGGGAATCGAACTGTGACCACCTGGTTCATAGGAGGTCAATGCTTCTGAGCCACAGTCAGACTATAAAGCAGTTCTTAACAAAATTTTTAAAAATCTGTGTCTTTAGATCATGCCCTATGATAAAGATGCAATTAAAGTCAGAAATTAGTAGCAAATAAATTAATTTTTAAATTTTTAAATTTTAAGCCGTAAACATTTATTTAAGAAAGAGCCATAACTCTGTTCTGAGAAAAGACATAACCCTGGTGGTTTGGCTCATTTGGTTGGAGCATCATCCCGAACCCCAAAAGGCAATGGTTCAATTCCTGGTCACTGTACCTATCCAGGTTGTGGGTTTAGTCTCTAGCTGGGGCACATGTGGGAAGCACCAATCAATGTTTCTCACTCACATGGACCTCTCTCTCTCTCTCTCTCTCTCTCTTTTTCTCTCTCTCTCTCTCTCTTCCTTTCCCTCTTTCCCCCTTCCTCTCTCAAAAATCAATAAACAAATAATTTTTTAAAGAAAGACTCATTTATGGAAAGCTGATAAATTATAGAACTGGCATTTCAGATTCATTCATTTATTCACTAGACTTTTACTGAGCATCTACTGTGAACCATCCACTGCTCAAGTTACTGTACATACAATGAAGGTGAGGGGATATAGAAAAATATTATAGATAAAATGTTCCGACACCCAAGGAGTTTATATTCTAGAAAGGAAGACAGACAATAAGTAAAGAATGTAGTTTTAAGTGATGGTAAGTATTCTAGAGAAAAATAAAGCAGAAAAGGTAGAATAGGGGATCCAGGATAGGAAGAGTTAGTAGTTTTAAATCGAGTAGTCAATACAAGTGCACCACAGTAGGTGACATGGTAGTAAAATCCTAAAGAGGTTATGAGAGCAAGCCTCCCAGATTTTCAGGGAAGAGCATTACAGGCTGAGCACAGCCCTGAGGTGGGAGCGTGGTGGTACATCCAGGAACAGCAGGATAGTGAGGGTGGAAGGGAGTTAGAAATCAGTCTGGAGAGGCCTTATAAGCTTTTGGAAAGACTTTGACTTTGAGTAAATGGGAAGTCATTGGAGGATTTTGCACGAAGTTTGTTTTAATGGAGTGTGCTTGTTTTGCTGTGTGGAGAAGAGAATATAGGGAAAATAGGGCCAAATTAAGTGGTCATTGCAGTAATCCAGGCAAAAAATTATGTTGGCTTAGGTCATCTGAATTTAGGGCTAGTGGTCCAAATGTGTTTGAAGGTAAAGCCAATGATATTTGCTGACAGATTGGATGTGGTGGAAAGATGTTAAGGCTTATGACTAAGCAATTGGAAGGATAGAGTTATCATTTACTAAGATGGGAAAGGCTGGGGAAGGACTGAGCGGGGGGTAATTAAAAGTTCAGCTTGGACAATTTAAGTTAGAGATGCCTATTGGACATCAAAGTGGACATGTTATCCAGGTCAGGGTTCTAGGCTAGAAAGAGAAATGTGTCAGTTGTCAATGAACAGAAGGTGTTTGCAGTCATGAAACTGGAAGCCATCACTGTGTTTAGAAAAGAAAAGTAGTGGGGTACTCTAATAGCAGGGCAAATAAGACAAAGAAGAGAGAGAAAGTAGACCAGTGAGTTGGTACAGAAACCAGGAGCAAGGTTTCCTGGAAGCCAAGTGAAGAAAATACTTCAATGGGGAGGATGTGATTGGTTGTGTAAGTGTTCTTGGTAGAATACTGTGAACTGGAAGTCAGCAGGTCAGCAGTTTTGGTGGAAAGGTAGAGGCAGTATCCAACTAGAATGAGTTCAGAAGGCAATGGGAGATGGAGAGGGAGAATAAGAAATGTCAGGCAACTTTTGTTTTTATAGCTTTCTTGAGAAATAATCCTAATATATAAAAACACAGGATTCATAACAACCAACCGAAGGCTTGATTGAATATCGTAAGTCAGTCCTGCAGTCAGTGCTGGATTGCTGTGGCACTGACTGCCACCGGTGTAGGCACAGTGACCCAGCACTGACTGCAAAGGGGACTGCAGATCAGGCCCAGAGAGAGGCAGAGTCTGATCGGCAGCCTCCATGGCAGCTGTTACTCAGCTCTTGTCTCTCTTTCTCTCCGGGCTTCACCAGCAGTCACACCTCTGTTTCTCTCTGGGACTCCGCAGGGGCTGCTGATCAGCCTGCCTCTCTGATCAGGCCCGGAGATGCTGAGTAGCATAGAAAATGACCAATCAGAGCCAAATTGGTCGGCACAGGAGGGCAGTTGGGGGGGGGGGGGGATCAGGCTGGCAGGGGAGGGCAGTTGAAGGTGAGATCAGGCCGGCAGGGGAGGGCAGTTAGGGGCAATCAGGCAAACAGGCAGGTGAGCGGTTAGGAGCCAGCAGTCCCAGATTGTGAGAAGGATGTCTGACTGCAGGCTCACAGGGATCAGGACTAAACCAGCAGTCAGACATCCCCCAAGGAGTCTCTGATTGGAGAGGGTGCAGGCTGGGCTGATCTGCAGTCCCCTTTGCAGTCAGTGCTGGGTCACTGTGCGTGGGCCAGATGGCTCCAATAGCCAGCCAGGCTGAGGGACCCCACCCATGCACAAATTCATGCACTGGGCCTCTTGATATATAATAAACTACTCATATTTAAAATGTACAAGTTTGATAGATGTTAACATATGTATGAACATGTAATATCACCACAATCAATATAATGAACCCATCAACTGCCAAGTTTCTCGTGACTCTTTGTAATCCCCTTCCAGTCCCAAACTGCTTTCTGTCCCTATAAATTAGCTTGTATCTTCTAGAATTTTATATAAAAGTACTTATACAGTGCATACTGTTGTGGTTTGTTTGTTTTTGGTCATACTTCTTGCATTATTTTGAGATTTACTCGTTTTGTCATTATGAATAGTTAATTCTTTATTATTAAAATAGTATTCAGTTTTATGGATATACCACAGTTTACTCATGCATTCACTTGCTGATGGACATTTGTGCTGTTTCCAGTTTTTCTTTATTTCACATGAAGATGCATAATGTTGAATGTTTTAAGTGAAGGTTGATTGTACTTTTTATTTTATTATTTTTTTATTGTACTTTTTAAAAAACAGGTTTTAATTTATCATGGTAATTCACAGGTGATTATGCCAATGCCAGTGTCATTGGGAGAAATAACCGCTGTCTTCCTTTCTTCTAACAGGTTGCAGCATTGCAAGAGGAGAAAAGCAGCCTGTTGGCAGAGAACCAGGTATTAATGGAAAGACTTAATCAATCTGATTCTATAGAAGATCCTAACAGTCCAGCAGGAAGGAGGCATCTGCAGCTCCAAACTCAATTAGAACAGCTCCAAGAAGAAACATTCAGGTAAAAGACCACTCACTAAAGTCTGATTTTTTTAAATTTGGTAACTATGTCTTAAAGTTAAGAATATAGTATTAGGACTTCTGGGTAGCTGCAGACCAAGGATACTGTGTAATAACTTTCCAAAAATCTTCCCACATGACCTGAAATAGCTTTACATCTAGGAACAATTCTGTTAAAGCTACACCTTCATTATTACTTGAAGACAAAATGCCCCAACTGAAATATAACTATGAATGAAAGGAAGAAAACAAACACCAGCCCTATCCCACACACCTGTCCTACCCCAGTTCTGCCAGGCAAGAAAGGCAGACTGAGGAAAACATTAGAGGAAGACAGAAGAACACTAGTGAAGGGACCTATGGGTGAGTTGGAATAATCACCAAAAAGATTAAATTTGCTCAAAATCTGAAATCATTTTTAAAACAAAAATGGAGATTAGACCACAAACTGCAGGGAACAAATGTCAAAGTAAGTACATCTTCTTATATTGTTATATATATAGATAGAGAGGTAGATTTTTAGAGAGGGAGGAAAGGAGAGAAAGAAACATTGATGTAAGAGCGGAACATCAATTTGCTGCCTCCTGCATGTCCCCACTGGGGATTGAGTCTGCAACCCTGGCATGCTCCCAGACCAGGAATCGAACCAGCAACCTTTTGGTGCACTGGACAGTGTTCAACAAACTGAGCCACACTGGCCAGGGCAGTACATCTTAATGGGTCTGATGCCATAAAAAGATACTGGAACTAAATTTAAAGAGATTGGTACTCTTTTGAGTACTCAGTTTAAAGAGACACATACAAATGCCAAGTACATGATTTCTAGAGACAGATTTACTTAAAGGACAAACTGATTTAAAGGGACAGTCTCCTAAACACACCTGGGAGAGGAAAAGTTGTTAAATATTGTGGAAGGAAAAGTTAGATTCTTACATTACATCATATACCAAAATGAATTCCAGCAAAATTGAGAATTTTAATGTTAAAATGAAACCGTATAAATACTAACAGACTACATAGGATTGAAATGACAAACACCTTTCTAATCATGTACTAAAAGTGGAAATTATATAGTATAAGATTTATCAATTGAATTACATAAAAACCAACTAAGAATTTCAGTATGTTAAATACATAAAGATTATTAAAAGTAAATAATGATAAATATTTGTGACATTAGAGACAAAAAATCTTATAAATCTAAATGAGGGATTTATATTAAGAAAAACAAATTAAGAAGTAAAAACAGTATTATCCACATTTTGGGAGATAAAAAGACCTGAATAGAAATCAGACTGGAGGATGTACTCTAAAAGTGTTAATAGTAGCTGTCTATTTAGGATGATTCATGATTTTTTTAATATTTTTTTGCTTTTCTGTATTCTGTAAATTTTCAACAAAGAATATAAATTTTATAATTAAAAATAAAAATTTAAATAAATTACATCTTCTATATTTTGAAAAGTATTACTTGATGTCTAAATTTCTAAATAAAGGAATGGTAATTAGTTTTTTATCTTTTCACTAGCCTCAGAATATTGGAATCCATTTTTTAGGATAATGAAAACTTAGAATTATAGTTCATAGTCACAAAAGTAGGAGACAAATTCAGGAAGAGTTTATTCTCATGCTTTTTATTTCTGTTTACTAAGGAGAATTATTAGACAGTAAATAGTACTCTCTTGGTTTGGTTTGTTTTGGTTACAGACTAGAAGCAGCCAAAGATGACTATCGAATACGCTGTGAAGAGTTAGAAAAGGAGATCTCTGAACTTCGGCAACAGAATGATGAACTAACCACTTTGGCAGATGATGCTCAGTCTCTAAAAGATGAAATAGATGTTCTTAGGTAAACAATCTTCCCATCTTTGTACAGTGCCAGACCTGTCATCACCCAGACCGTTTCTTCCACCAATGTTACAAGCTCTAGGATCTCTGGGCACAGTAGGTTGTTTAAAAGACGGGCCACCTGCATTTAGATCTCAGTGCCATCATTTATTTAACTTTCACCTAAACATTTTCTCATCTGTAAACATGAAAATAATACACACACATACCTCAGATTTATATGTGAAGTTAGGTGAGTTTATATTTGTAAACACTGGAACAGCCTGGCAAATAAGTGCTATATAAATGTTTGTCAATAGAAATTAACCTCTGACCATTACTTTATACTTGTATATCTCTGGAGCTTTTCTTATTACTATTCCTTTTCTTTAATTTTGAGTCCTGCAATCACTTGGTCTTCCTTTTTCTCAAATACTGTTATATCTCACAAGGCTTCATCTCCTTGATGGGCCTTTTTATCTTCACCTCAGCTATTTGCTCACTAGGAACCTCACTCCCTATCACTTCATTTTTCCACTATTGTCATTCTTGTATAATCTATCCTCTGTTGGATCATTCTAACCATCTATAATTTACACTTTTGCTCTGAATCCTGAGGACAAATAGAGAAATTCACATAGTGATACAGTTTCCTCCTACCGCAAATTAATAAGCTTACTCTTCACTGGGTTCTTACCACGGTCCTCCATTCTGCTGCTCATCAGAGATGGTTCTGTCTCCCATTTCTCTCTTGGGTATGACATATTTTCATAACTCTTCCCACCTGCATGCCCATCGCACCCCACCTCTCTCATGCCTCAGGCTCAGTGGATGACATTATCTCCTGCTGCATGGAGGTAAGACCATGGACTGTTGAACTTTCCATGTCCTAATCTCCTACACCTCCTGAATTCCCTGCATTCCCACTAATCTTTTCTGTTTCTAGAAGATAGACTTGTTATTATTCCTCCTGTCCAGTGCTAATTTCCTCTTCAGTGCTCCAGGTCTCAATGCTTCTTGCTTACACAGGGACTGTGTTACATGATTATTATTTCTCTTCACATTTGAATCTTCCTCCTTAGCATATATGTACACTTAGGTCTCTCTTATCTTAGAAAAGGGAGAGACTTACTACTCTCTCCTTCCCTCCAGAATAAATTTAGATTATACAGGGTAAAATTTATGTTCTCTCCTAATGCCCTAAAATTTGCCCCCACCTGCCCCAACTACTCCACTGAAACAGCTGTTTTAATGGCCAAATCATTTGGACACTACACAATTTATTTTGCTCTTTCTACCACTGCATGTGTGTCTGCTGGCTACAACTCCAACCCTTCTACCTCCTGCTATACATAGTCTTGCTTTCCTTAAATTATATAATTTGTCATTACAATTTTTGCTGTATTTTGGTTATATTTTTTAACCTGAGCAAAAAAAAAATTAACCTGGAATTATCTTTGGTTTTATAATTTGATTAGAATGTTATTATCTCATGATCCCTCTTATTTTAGCACTATCTAAAACAGCTATATAATTGTGAATGTGTTTCTGATTTCCCATCTTACTCTAGACATTCTTCTGATAAAGTGTCTAAACTAGAGGGCCAAGTGGAATCATATAAAAAGAAGCTAGAAGACCTTGGTGATTTGAGACGGCAGGTTAAACTCTTAGAAGAGAAGAATACTATGTATATGCAGAACACTGTCAGTCTAGAGGAAGAGTTGAGAAAAGCCAATGCAGCTCGAAGTCAACTTGAGACCTATAAGAGACAGGTAAAAGAATCGTAACGGTTTCCTGATGACATTTTCGAGCAGATTCTCCGTTAGAACCCAAAATCTAATTTTGGCTTATCCAAAATCTACTGACTTGCTTTTACGGTGTTCGAATTTTTACCTATGAAACTTAGCTCTTTTCCAGAGCTTATTAACTGGTCTCTATAGTAGATCCTTTTCTTGCTCTTCATTTTTAAATTTATTATATAATTCTTAACTATGCAAAAGTAAAAAAAGAATACATTGCGTCCATGCTTAAAAAATAAAACATGCTCCTTATAGTAACTACTATGCTGTTTGTGGTTTCCTTCCAATGCATCTCTCTATTCCAGTGATTTTTCAACCTTTTGCATCTTGTGGTACGCGTAAAGTATAATAATTGTTAAAATTCTGCGACACACCAAAAAAATGTATTTTTTACTGATCTGACCCAAAAAAGAGTATAATTTTGGTTCATTCACACCGACGGTTATTGTTGTGTTGGCTGTTGTCAGTTTTTTATTTGACAATCTAAGGGGGGAAATGTCAGTCCCCATACTACATAGTCAGGTATTGCATGTTTTAAAAATCCTTGGGGCACACCAGGGTGCTGCGGCACACCGGTTGAAAATCACTGCTCTAGTCTTTGTTTTGATTAATCCTCATCTGAGGACATTTTTTTTCATTGATTTTTAAGAGAAGGAGGGAGGGGGATACAGACAGAGAAATATCACACATCAATTAATTGCCTCTAGCATTAGCCCCAACCGGGGCTGGATATCAAACCTGTAACCCAGGTATGTGCCCTTTATTGGGGATTGAACCCCAGACCCTTCAGTGCTCAGGGAATATGCTAACTATTGAGCAACACTTGCCAGGGAACTGCTGCTCTATTCTTTTACTGCATATGTATATTTATTCATATGTGTGTATATAAAATTTATAGCATTTTGACACGTTTTAAGGCTATACAGGGCAAAAGTAGATTTATAGTTGTGAGTATGTGAGACAATTTATTCTTGTATTATTTATTAACTAGAGGTCCAATGCATGAAATTAATGCAAGAGTAGACCTTCCTTCCCCTGTCTGCTGGCACCGGCTTCTCCGGCACCCGGGACCCAGGCTTCCCTCTGGCCGCCAGCAGGTACCCAGGACCCAGGCTTTCCTCAAAGCACTGATTTCATCTGAAAGGTCATCCAGAAGGATGTCCAGTCTAATTAGCATATTACGCTTTTATTATTATAGATTATTGTGTTCTTTTCCATACAAACAACTGTAAACCTACTTTTGCTCCAACCTGTATAAATTATAAAGTGAAAGAAATCTACTATAATTTACTTTTGCTCAGTAGTATATTTGTGAGATTTGTTTATGTTGATAGGTATATAGCTTTCTCCCATTCATTTGTACTGCTATATAGTATCTTATTAAATGACTATACCATAATTTACCCATTTTCCTGTTGAAGGACAGATAGAATGTATCAACTTTTTATTTTATATTACAAGAAATGCCACTGTGAATAAATAGTATTGAATTTTACCTCTTTTACATATATGTGAAAGTTTTACAACTATGTGGAATTTCTTTCATAGAATATGTTCATTTAACTAGATACTTCCCAATTATTCTCCAAAGTGACTGTATTATCAGCAAGAAGTTTGCATGATTTCCCCCTCCACATCATCACTAACAATATTATCAAACTTCAAATTTTGACAATTGGATAGATATGAAATGGTTTCTTTATACTTATACTTTTTTTTGGCATTACCCTAATTACAAATATATTTACTGATCACATTTTTTGTGAAGGGTGAAAGGTTAGGGATACTTTGTCTGGACAATCAGTCAACCTAGCAGCACTTACTAATAGTTTCTTCCACAGTGCCTACATGCCTCACTTACCATATGCCTAAATTTCCATCATATATGTGGGTTTGTTTCTGGGCTCGCTCTTTTACTTTATTGGTCTATTTGTCTATTCTTACACCGGGACCTTATGATCTTATTATCTATAGATTTTTAGTAGCTTTGATATTTGGTATTATTGCACCTTGCTCTTTTTTAGAATTGTCTATTCTTAGACCTTTTCTTTTCCTCTATACCCAACACTTTTGGGAATTGAAATTACATTAATTCTGTTGAATAATGTAGAGGATAAATGAAATCTTTATGACAATAATATTCCTATCAGCAAATATAATATATTTCCATTAAGTTTTATACTTGTAAATATCATGCACATATTTTGTTATATTTACTTTTGATATTTTATGTACTTGGTATTTAAGAAAGTTTATCATTTTCAGCTTGCTGCTCATTTATCTGGTTGAAATTGATTTTTGTAGACTGATTTTGCAACCTTATCAGATTTTCATATTATTTCTAGTATTGTCAGCTGTATCTTTTGCCAAAAGCAGCTTTCTTTCTACTCTATACTCTCTTTTTCTTCTTAATCAGCATGTCTGACCTTTAATACTATTTTAAATAAAAACAATACTAGTAGACAAACATTTTTGTTGATTTTATACAACATGCTTTAAACATTTTACCAGAATAAGGATTGCTATAGTTTTCTGTAGCCACCTTTTATTAGGAGAAAGGAATTCCACTGCATTTCTAATTTGCTCAGGGTGTCTGTCTGACATGGATATTGAATTTAATCAACTTTTCCTGAGAGGCTCCTATGGTGCTTCTCCTCTCTATTAATGTGACAAATTATATTACTGGGTTTTTCTATGCTTAAGCCATCTTTGCATTCCTGAGATAAACTTAGTTTGGTCACTGTGTTTTTATTTGTTGTTTTCACCTTGCTAGATTTGCTTTGTTAATTTTACGTAGAATATTTTGCCTCAATGATTCACTTGGACTTTTCTATTTTACACTTTTCCTCATCTCATTTTCGCATCAGAATTGTACTAGCTTATTAAGATAAGTTGGAGAAGTTTCAGTAGAACAGCCATGGCAGGTTTTTTTGGTGGATACACTTTCCCCCTACATTTTATTATAACATTTTTAACGTATAACAAGGTTTTAAGAATTAATGAGCTTGAGTGTGAACTGATAAATAAATGTAAATGAAGGGAATTGTAAATGAGATGAAAAGGTGTGAAATTAAAAGGAGAATTTATCTAATTAGAGTCCAAAGGAGAGAACAAGAATTGTAGAAAGACATTATTTGAAGGAAAGAATGGCTAAACATTTTTCAGAACTAATGGAGGACATCAGATTTAGTGTTAACAATGAATTACAAAGTAAATAAAAAATATCTACGCCTAGAAATGCTGTAGAGAAATTGTATAAAACACAAATTCTGTTTCCTATCTGAAGCTTAATATGCTTTTTCATTGATAACATTTTTCTTTCTACAAATAGTCTTTAGATGTACTTTCAAACCAGCCTGATCATTTTTAATGTTCTCTTAATCCTTTCATCATTTAGATTTCCTTCCTTATCTTTAAAGTATTAAATCTAATACTTTATATCTGATAATTACAATCTAAAATCCTTGGAGGTCTTATTCTACCATTTTATTGTTGTTGTTATTGTTATTAATGTTTTTCTGCTGACTGTTGTTGGCATTGGCTTATTGCTTTTAGGTCTTTGTTCTTTAGTGTGGCTCATCTTTATCTTGGGGAATATTGGAGGGCCTGGTTTGAGGTGGTATTCCTCCAGACAGTGTGGGTTTTGCTTATGTCAGATTTACCAAACAGGACTATTTTAAATTAATTAATGGGCTTAAGATTTGCCAGACAAGGCATGTGGCAACATTTTTAAACACAAATCTATGTATTAGAATGTATTGCATATTTTCAAGTTATACTTTTTCAAACTCAGAGCATTCACTTTAAGAAAGGCAAGTTTTCCTATTGACTTTTCCAATTGATGGATTTTCTTCTCATCCACCTATTTACTGACTCATCTTTTTGAGTCCAAGGTGGTTTAACAGCCATCTGTTTCCCATTAAATTCAAAGCTCTGGGTTCCTGGTTTTGATCATTTGTACCTCTTGGCTTCTACATGTAATTCCCACTCCTGTTTCAGCAAGTGAACATTGTTACTTTAGATCAGGGGTAGGGAACCTTTTCTTTCTGCCAAGGGCCATTTGGATATGTATAACATTGTTTGCTTAATATAATTCACTTAATATAAATTTATGTTGCTTCTAGATTTATTGCATTTCGAGTCCCACCTGCGGTTGCCTTGGCAGAACCTGGCCAAGTGATTTCAGAGGCCTTATGTGGCCGGTGGGCCTGACATTCCCCAGCTTTAGATTTCAGAACTTAGTAGTAGATTTTTGTTGCCAGTTCTCTCCATTCAGCTGGGCTGCTGTATCATACACATTTAAAAATATATATATTTGTGGGGAAGGAATTTTTGTAGAAGAAAATAGTAATAATTTCTAATGTTTGAGCTTATAAAAATTAATGCTATCTTTTTGTATCAGGTAGTAGAACTGCAGAATAGATTATCTGAAGAATCGAAGAAAGCAGATAAATTAGATTTTGAATATAAGCGGCTAAAAGAAAAAGTTGATAGTCTTCAAAAAGAAAAGGATGTGAGTATATATATTAGGGAATTTGGTTTTGAGCACTACTAATATTAAAACAGATATTTAATTCGTGCTTTGTTGTTTTTTTGTTTGTTTGTTTTTTTAAAATATATTTTATTGATTTTTCACAGAGAGGAGGAGAGAGGGATAGAGAGTTAGAAACATCGATGGGAGAGAATCATCGATTAGCTGCCTCTTGCACACCCTCTACTGAGGATGTGCCTGCAACCACGGTACATGCCCTTGACCGGAATCGAACCCGGGACCTTTCAGTCCACAGGCCGACGCTCTACCGCTGAGCCAAACCAGTCCCGGCCGTGCTTTGTTATTAATTCCTCCTACTTATAAGTTTAAAAATTCAAATCTACTTATTTTTAACTTTAAACTTGAGATTCACATGTATATTTCAGAAATAGATATAAAAGATTAAAAGAATGTTTTTACTTCTAATTTTATGTATATTTATATTCTAATATGTTTTATATTGTTTTGCTCATGCCTTTTTGTAAATTTATGTAGTGTTTTTGTTTTCTGTATGATTATTATAGAAGACAAAATTCTTTTGGTTGTTATCCAGCTTTTTTGAATCCCTTAAAAATATTTTTTCCATCATGATTTCAATTATTTAAATTCTTTGATTTTTTTTTTTTTGTGTGTGTGTGTTTAGTGAAAAGAATGTTATATACATAATCAAATACTTATTGTTAAGAATGGTGTAAACAGTTGTGTTTTTTATGTTTAACTGTGGATGGCATATTGCCTTGTACATTGTAGATATTCAGTAGTTAGTGAGAAAAAAATTATTGTAATCTTTTATCTTCCGTGATGCTTTCATAGAAGATCAAAACATCCATATTTCCTACTGTTTATCATTTTACTAGGGAAGGCAAAGACTACTAATGAATAAATTCATATAACCTCTACTAACTTCCCTTGTTTTTAATCTCTCCAGAGGTTACGAACAGAAAGGGATTCTCTGAAGGAAACCATTGAAGAGCTTCGTTGTGTACAGGCTCAAGAAGGGCAGCTCACAACTCAAGGTAAAACCAGTTCAGTAGCCATAATAATAACTTAAAACAACTGTGACATGGTCTTTTACTTAACTAAAACAAAATTTTAGCTGTTAAAATTGAGGCTCAAAATAGAATTTCATTTAGAAACTAAAGGAAATGGTGGTGCTCTCTCTTACCTTTACATTCATGTTTACATATTTATAGGATTAATGCCTCTGGGAAGTCAGGAGTCTTCAGATAGTCTGGCAGCAGAAATTGTTACACCTGAAATCAGGTAAGGAGATCATAAAGTTCATAGTCACACTGCACTATATTTCTGGAGAAAACTTTTCTACAATACAAAAAGGATTATTTCCTTACTAGAGGCCTGGTGTATGAATCCGTGCACCTGTGGGTTCCCTCAGCCTGGCTTGTGGGACTAGGCCAAAACCAGCTCTCTGGTATCCCCAGAGTGGTCCTGGATTGTGAAAGGGTGCAGGCCAGGCTGAGTAACTCCACTAGTGCACAATCAGGGCCTGGAAGGGATTCAGGAGGTTGGCCAGCCAGGGAGGGACCATGGAATGGCTCTAGGGCATGTCCAGCCCATCTTGCTTAGTCCCGATTGGCCAGACCCCAGCAGCAAGCCAACTTACCAGTCAGAGCATCTGCCCCCTGGTGGCCAGTGCACACCATATCAACTGGTCGACTGTCTGCCCCCATTATATATTATCTAAAAGTGCACATCAGCCGGGACCGGTTTGGCTCAGTGGATAGAGCGTCGGCCTGCAAACTGAAAGGTCCGGGTTCGATTCCGGCCAAGGGCATGTATCTTGGTTGCAGGCACATCCCCAGTAGGGGGTGTGCTAGAGGCAGCTGGTCGATGTTTCTCTCTCATCGACGTTTCTAACTCTCTGTCCGTCTCAGTTCCTCTCTGTGTAAAGTCAATAAAATATATTAAATAAATAAATAAATAAATAAATAAATAAAAGTGCATATCATAGCGAGCTGTTGAGCAGCTTTAGCATATCATTAGCATATTATGCTTTGATTAGTTTAACAGACTACCAGATGACCATACACAGTATATTAGGCTTTTATTATATAGGATTCTTTGTTACTAACAGTTTCAGCATGAGCTCAATAGCAAATGTTCATTATTTCAGCATCTTAGGTGCATTTTTCAACTGGCCCAAGAGACTTGATCTTCTTACTTAAGTAGGACAATATTTCACACATATACTGCAAACTGATATCTCTCTGCTTGAGTAACCTTTGCAAAAATTTAGCTATAAAATCACTTGACCCCAAAACAAACTCTATGTTTAACCATCAGCCTGCACAATAATTAATCACTTAAACTCATCTTTTAATTAGGTAGAATGGTCTGGGAAAGATTTAATATCATAGACAGGAAGAAGTATCTTCCTATCTGTTCTGTTCTTCCCTCACTAGTATCTTACATTTTTATTCATAGCATTTTTAAAATTCCATTTATTGCAATATATATCTGACTTTATGTATAAGGATAAAAGACTGGCCTGGCTGATGTGGCTCAGTGATTGAGTATTGACCCATGAACCAGGAAGTTACCATTTCAATTCCCAGTCAGGTCACATGCCCAGGTTGCGGACTCGATACCCAGTGGGGAACTTGCAGGAGATAGTCAGTCAATGATTCTCATTGATGTTACTCTTTCTCCCTTCCTTGTCCTCTCTCTCTAAAATTAATAACAACATATATTTTGCAAAAAGAATAAAGGTTTGGTGGGGAGGCACCAAGTATCCAGAAGAAAGAGAATGCTGAATATGAATATTGTTTTTACCTTCTGTGAGTCTGTTTGCCCCTTTTTAAATTGACACTGGCCTTGATTCTTTATAATACCCTTGGGAGTATTAAATAATATAGTGGTTGTTTAAGAGTTTTATAAACTGTGATTTAAAATAGGCATTAAAATGCTTGTTGAATAAATGAAGACAATATTGATTGTTGTTGGCATTTATTTAAGAAGGATACACAAAAGGAGTATAATGCAACACCAACTCTGGAAGCATCTTGTATACCTTTTTCTTTTTTGCCATCTGATGTGGTATTTCATATTGGACCATTAAAATTTGAATGAATGAACACATTATATATAAATATTCATAAATAAATGGTTATGCCTAAAAAACAACTTTTAAGGAAGCTTATTAGTAATGCAGTTTGGATTTTTAAATTGAGGGAAAGAATAATGATAAAGATTCAATAAATAAAATGACTTTTTTTAGTATGACTCATTAAAATTAAAATATACTCTATGTCTGGAGAGCTATTAAGATAATAAAATGGTAAAAGGCACAAAAATTTACAACATGTATTATACACAATGGCCTAATAGGTTTAATACATTATGAAATATACCTATCAAATTTCAAAAACTATAATTGATAATTTTCACTGATAATAAGGGTATGGAGAAATTGGAAACTTATAAACAAGAGTAAACATAAAGTGGTACAAATTTTTAAAAATTAATTTTTAATGAGATAATTGACATATTAATTGTATTAATTTTAGTTATATAACATAATGATATGATATATATATCATATCATTATGTTATATAACTAAAATTAATATATATATATATATAATGAAATAATTACCATAGTCAGTTTAAGATCCATCACCACACTTTTTTTTGTTTGTTAATCCTCACAAAAGGATATATTTTTCATGATTTTTAGAGAGAGTGGAAGGGAAGGGGAGAGAAAGAAACATCGGTGTGAGAGAGACACATAATTGATTGCCTCCCACACACGCTTCAACCAGGGCCAGGATTGAGCCTGCAACTGAGGTACGCTCCCTTGACAGTAATCTAACGCAACACTCTTCTGTCTGCAGGCCATTGCTCTATTCACTGAGCCAAACCAGCCAGGGCACAAATTTTTTTTCTTGTGGTGGTACAACTTTTTTTCTGTGCATTTTGGCAAAAAGTGTATATTATCTAAATGTGACTATCTTTTGATTCCAAATTTATTTCTCTGGAAATTAATCCTAAGGAAATAAAGGATATACACAAAGATATATTTATAAAGCTGATTATTAGCATATTAAATCTCAAAATTGGGAACAACCTAAATGCCCAATGATTAAATTAAATAATTCTTCAATGTGTTTTAATGTGTCATTTAAAATATTAAAGTATGCTATTTACTGATAGGAAATGATGTGAAAATTCAAGTATAAATAGTAGATATCAATATAAAGTACTATGTGATCCATTTTTTAAACTGCTAGCATGTGTGTACATATACATCGCCTTAGAAGGCTACATTTCAGCAGCAATTATTTTGCACCAGAGGGTTATGGAGGGTTTCTGTTTTCTTCTCATTTATCCTTCCCTCCTCCTCCTACATAAATCTTCTTACTTGCAGTTCAAATATATGTTAAAGTCATGCTGTTCATACATAAAATATACTAAGTTTTATGTAATTGCTTAAGTTGGGCCACAAATTTGACTTTCATATTTTCAACAGCAAAAGTATAATTGCTTTATAGGATCTATGGTGTTTATCAAATAAGAGCAGACTGTTTTGTATATATTTGTTTTGTTTATATGTTTTCTTTTTACATGAGAAACATAGCTTTTTATAGCATCTGGTATGAATAAAATTAAGAATGAATTATATTTTCAAGATCTTCAAGTATATCTTGACATGGATTAATACTCAGTTATATCATCCCTGCAGTAAATGTAGTGGTAAGCTTTTTGTGGCTGTTGCTATTAACATCCCTCAGTGTAAGCTTTTGTCATAACATAGGATTCCACAGTAATGCAGTCCAGTAAGTTGGCTCTTATAATCTGGTTTATTACAAAAATTTTAGAATATATATGTGTGTGTGTGTGTGTGTGTGTGTGTGTGTGTGGGCTACATATCTTGAAGACATACTTCTTTCGATATTATATCTTGCCACCAAATGATTAATAATTTAAGAGTATGGCACTAGAGATCATGTTTTTTGATAAGCACTAAAGAACAAATATGTAAATGCTTTCATAGCTTCAATATGCAAATCAGAAGAAAATAGGATTTTGAAATCTCTTTCATTACAAATCATGATACTTGGAGAGTTTCCTTCAGATTATCCATTCTTAAAAAGAAAGTACTTAGGACCTGAGATGTAATGTCTTATCCAATTACAACAGGAGCTACATTCTTTGCAGGCACTTGGTTTTTCATTTCTGTTCTATGTATTAAATCTGTAAGTATACATAGTTGGATTTTGAAAACTATACTAGAGGCCTGGTGCATGGATTTGTGCACCAGGGGGGTCCCTCTGCCTGGCCTGCGCCCTCTCGCAATCTGGGACCCTTTAGGGTATGTTGGACTGCCAGTTTCAGCCCAGTCCCCGCACGCAAGGCAGAGGGACCCCATTGGTTCATGAATCCATGCACCAGACCTCTTGAATGCATATAAAATATTTTATTAATCTCTTCCCACCCTACCCCTTTCCCTCTGAGATTCATCAGTCTGTTCCATGCTTCCATGCCTGTGCATTGAGCGTCTGCCTCCTGGTGGTCAGTGCGTGTCATAGCTACCCGTTGAATGTTCGCTTGGGCTTTTATATATATAGATTGTATTAATGTACCAGGTAATGTTTTTCTTGTACTCATTTAGGGAGAAACTTATTCGTCTTCAGCATGAAAATAAGATATTAAAACTTAACCAAGAGGGTTCAGACAATGAAAAAATTGCCTTATTGCAGAGCCTTCTGGATGATGCAAATCTTCGCAAGAATGAATTGGAGACAGAGAATAGGTAGGATTGTATATAGGTAGCTGCATTGAATCACAGGTTTTCTCAATTGTTTGCCTTGACTTTGATTCTCTTAAACCAGTGGTCGACAAACTGCGGCTTGTGAGCTACATGCGGCTCCTAGGCCCCTTGTGGTTCTTCCACAAAATACCACGTGCAGGCGCACACGTACAGTGCGATTGAAACTTCGTGGCCCATGCGCAGAAGTCAGTTTTCGGCTCTCAAAAGAAATTTCAATCGTTGTACTGTTGATGTTTGGCTCTGTTGACTAATGAGTTTGCCGACCACTGTCTTAAACCATGGCTGGGGAAAATCTAGCCTGTGGGTTTGGCCCTGCCAAGGCATTAGAGGTGAGTTAATTAAATGTTTGACCAAATACAGCAGGCTAATTTTTAAGTTGATAATTTTGTGTGGGCTGTGAATGATGTTATAATATCAAAATGGCCCTTGGCAGAAAAAAGGTTCCCTTCCCTTGCAGCTTAAAAAAGGCATGACTTATATTTTAAGAAGTGATAATGTGTTAATTCCATTTCCTTTTAAGAATACTTTAAGCTGTTTCTCCATTTATGCACAGACTTGCCAAAAGTATTGTGCCTCTTTATAATAGTATTCCCTTCTCTATTTCTTCAAGCAAAATGAATCAAAACCCTACATTTCCCCTTTCTAATCACAAATTAAAGCTGCTTCAAACTTGAGCATTTTATTACTGTGTTTGCTTTTTGTCCATTCCCTATAACTGGCCTTTTGAGTTACTTTCAAGTCTTTCCAAAGAACATCTTGGTAGGGACTGATTGATTATATTTTATGACATTTACAGTGGCCTCCACCTAATAGACTTGCAATATTTTTGATTAAGTAATTTTTAAAATGGCTAAGATGGGTATTTGAAATAGTCTTATAGTTTGATGTATATTGCATTTTCATATTGCTTTCTGAAAACAATTACCATACCACTCATAATGTACCTTTCTTCATATTGAATACGGATTTTCAGATAATTCTTTCACTATTGAAAACCTACTCGGTTATTATATTTCCTGATGTGAAAAACATCAATTATTATAGATTTGATTGTATTTTTACTGCAGTACTCACTAACTTAAAGAATGTAGGTTTATGATCAGAATTTTTTATAACTTCTTGAGTAAAAAAAAAAAAATCTTTTTACACTTTCTGTCTATTTAGATTCTGAATACTCATTTTCCTATTTTGTCCTTAATTTGGGGCAGTCTGTCTGTTACTACCATCTCACTAAAAAATTTCTTATTCAAATAACCAGTCATCTGTTAAATGGTCAATCCAGTGGGTGTAATTAGACTTTATCTTTCCTTATCTTTCTGCTAATATTCATTGTTGAGGATCATCCCCTCCTTCAAACTTTTTTTTTTTTTTAACTTCAATAACTTCCTTGTTTTGTGTTTTTCGAGATTCTCTTTATTATTTATTCTCCAGATGTGATTCCTCTTTCTACCCTTGTATTCCTCTTTCTATCTTGGTGATTTGCTGTGGACCACTTTTTTATTCTTCTGCTTTTCTTCACATTCTTCCTAGTCAATATCCTAAGTGTAATTTTTTTATTCCTTGTATTCTTGTGCCTTCCCAGTACATTTTCTCTCTGTCCCCTTCTGTTTCAGGCATATGTGGGAATTAGTGTAATAGCATTTTCTGGACCTTCATGCGTGCTCTGTAACCTTTTTGATACATCTTTCACTCTCAAAGCAGTGTGATCTTTCTAAGACATTATCTGATCATGTATGTATCTTCCTTCTGGCAGTCTTCAACATTATCCAAGACCTAGGGAACCAAACTGGGCAATTGAATGCTGCATCATACTGACAAAGAGCTTGTGAAGACTGAGCTTCAGAATCAGCATTATTAAAGGTTGGCTGGGTTATTCCAGTTCCAGCCCAATTTTAGGCCATCTTTTTTTTATGTTCCTGATACTTTTTCATTTTGCACAAGATTGCACCCAGCTTCTCCTTTTCTTCTCTGGTTTTGTCTTCAGCTGTTCTTACCCCTCATAACTTATTCTTCAGCCATACCATTCAGGAACTTTACCCTCTCATTTTTCTGGTTACTTTGGACATGTTCAGTTCTCTGTCTTAAATTCCCTTTTTTACCCTTAACTACATGTTTTATGTATTATTCTAATCTCAGTTTAAGTCAGGCCTGTCCTAATTCCTCCACACAATTAGGTACAGACCTTGTTCCTCTGAGCAGTCATCATTCTTTTGTATACATCTTGCACTGTGTTGAAGTATTTATGTCATATTTCATTTGTTTACATTTTGCCTCCCCACTAAATTCTTAGTGCAGAGATCTTTAACACTTGTGTGGAGCATAGTGCCTGACACATAGTTGGAATAAATGTGTGTCAAATTGAATTTTAGATAAATAGATATGTATAGGTACATTAGTTCAACAGAATGTGTCCACAAAACACTACATTGGAAATCATAGAAATTTCATGATAAGTTTCACTATGAAAAAGAATTTAAAAAGTGAGCTACTACTACTATAACCTTAGGCTTTATTTTGTTATACTGTCTCTAACCATATGACAACGTAAGAAAAAGAACTAAGTTAAGTCAGAATTTGGAAAATTAATGCACATTTAATTTCTAGGTTGGTGAATCAAAGACTTCTGGAAGTACAGTCACAAGTTGAAGAATTGCAAAAGTCTTTACAGGATCAAGGATCAAAAGCAGAAGATGTAAGTTTTAATATGTACCAACTATGGTCCAATAATTTCACAGTATTAACAAAACCTATAACTTGTTCTTTTACTTGATCTCTATCAAAATACTTTATAATTATGTATATTGACTATACAAAAGAAACGATGTTTTCCTTTTATTAGCATTCCCAAAAGAGCCAAATAATACCTTCTTGTCTCTGATTTATTCTGCTGGGAATTAGAAGTTTATTTGTAGTTATCAACTAAGAAGTTAATTGAGCTTTATGTTTTACAAGTGCTCAATTCAGGTTTCAAAGTATAGGGTTTTCAGACAAAAACAAACAAATGCTAGTAGAACTTAACATGTTCAGGTAGAAATTGTTTAAGTAAAGTTGATATTCAAGAAAATTGTCATCTCTAGAATCCCATCTTTAAATTCTGAATCCCTCTTGCTACCCTCCCCTAATGCACACTCAAATTAAGTTCACAACCTTTTAAAAATATTTCCTTAACCCTGTCTGCTTGACTGGCATGCTCAAATCTAGAATGTAGTAAATGTGTTGAGCCAGCAGCCAAGTCCTTTTTCATCTCCTCGTGCCATCTGTAATAGTGCTATGTAGCACATAGTGGTCAATCAGTCTCTGACGCTAGTGCAAATGAATCGTATTTTGCAAATTCTTTATGTTGAATGAGCAGTATACAATAGAACTGCAACTACAAAGTGCTCAAAAATAATGTAAGGAAGGGAGAAAGGACACCTAAAGGAGCACTTTCAGTGACCAATCTTTGCTTCAGCCAGTTGGGTTTCTTTGGGGTTTTTTCCTGTTGCCAGTGTAATTTGTTATAAACTCTGGCTTTTGAGTATAAACTTATTTGATTGTTCTCATTGATAGTCATTTTGGGGATCTGCATCAGCACTAGATAATCCAGTTTCATCAGACTTACTAACAGAAGAGGGTATAAGGACAAGAGCAATCTAAGAGGGAGAGTTAAACTAGGACAGTACTTAAACCCTGAGAATATTAGATGTAAAAAGCTCATCAAAGACCTGGTTTCAGGATTTTCATAAGATTTATGAGCACATATTGGCAGCATGCTTTTCTTTGTAGTGGTTTTAGTTCATCCTTTAATTAATGTATAGGTAGTTCTTAGATTCCCAAATTGATTTCCACTTCCTAAAATTGTCACCTACATTGAAACTACTTTATTCCTTTATTAAAATGGAACTATTTTGAAATGTCATGGTTTACTTTTAAAACATGCTTTTATCCAGGATGCTAAATCATAAAGAGATAAAGCAAAACCACCATTTGTGTATTAAAATCTTAGTAAGCCTATCTAAGAGTATCTGAGAGTTCAGTGAAATCTCTAGGTTTCTCACACTGAGGTAAATGTAAACTTAGTTTTGGTCTCTGAAAGTTCGATTTCTTTTGTTGATTTATTGTGGCAGAGACACGAAGGACCCGTGATGCATTTGGTAGTAAAAATGGTGAAACAACAGTATCAGCTCAGCATTAGTGCCGTAGCAATAATCTTTATGCTTGCTTCTCTTACTTACATTAAAACATACATAAATTTATTCTGTAAAAAATAATTTTGCATGGCCTGGTTAGTTAGGTACCACTGTGGTAATCAAATCTAAATATGCTGTTTGCCATTACTTTAAAAGAACATATTTCAGAAGTGAGATGCAAGCTCTATAAAGTACTATTTGCATAAATTACTCAGTTTATTGGACCGCCCAGATGCTCATGAGATGTCTTGCTCTAAATTCTTAGAAATTCAGATCTCTTTGTCTACAACTAGGAAATATTCCATTTGAAACTTTCCTTATTCTCATGATATGCCTCAAAATGTTTAGAGAAGTAGTGTGGACAGGACACGTGGTTCTTTCCCCCAGCAGACTTTTGATGCTTTTATCTTCTCTCTTTCACTAACCCACAGCGTTGCATCTCAGGAATATATAATACATAGAACAACCTGCCAAATGGGATTGGTCCCCTCTGAAGAACAACATAATTTCTACTTATTTCTGTTACCAAAAGCACAGTCCTTTCAGTAACCCTAGGTTAGAGTAGGATGGTTTGCACATTTTTATTATTATTTTTATGTCATTTATTTTTAGCTTGGAAGCAGAAAAGCATTGTTATATCCAGTCATATGGATAATTTGAGCTAGCCACAGTGTATAAAACTCCAGAGAACAAGACAGGATGAGGAGACCATAGAAGAAAGAAAAATGTACATTTTTGAAAAACAAAATGCATATCTTTTACTTCTGTTCATGAATTACTAAATCGTTCCTTCTATTGGCTGCTGTGTTTGCTTCATACTAATATGTCCTCTCTGTCTCTTGGCATGGTTTCTGCTCAAGGCTATTGTAAGTATGGCTTCCTATTCATTTCTCTATATTGAGCAATTTTATTATTTATATGTTTTCTGCCATTATAGTTGATGGTATTAAAATTTTAAGTTATGGGAATTTTATGCAAAATGGACATACCAATATTACTTGTCTTATAGATTTATGCGCTTTACAATTAAGCTACTGAAAAGATATCTGCCACTTGAAAACGTGAATATCTCCCCAGCCTTACCTTCGTAAGCTGTAAGATGGGTTACTGTTACTCAGTGTTGTGAGGTTAACATGAGACAATGTAAATGGCATGCTTTAGTGCAGTGCCTGGCATAATAACCACTCATTAAATCATTACCTTATTATATATTTCTCAGAGTTAAAATTAAATTTATAGAGCCCAATCACAACATAAATGAAAATTAAAGTTTAAGATATTAGAAAGTATTTTCATTTTACCCTGTGTACTGAGGAAGGAATGAGCACAATCAGAAATTAATAGGGTTATTATCTTTTTTATATTTGGGAGAAGCAGTGATGGTGGACTTCATAGTCCACTGATGTATCTATAGTTAATATATTGAACAAAGAAATGAATTTGAAATATTCCAGAGTTGCATTAGAATAGATTTGATTAAATAGTTACTGTAGTTGTTATTGAATAAGGTAACTGAAAATCAAAGAACTTAGCACATGGAGTTTTTTCTCCTTATCACTGCTATTGATTGATTGAACAATTTATTTAATAAGCCTATATTAATTGTATTTGACTGAATTATGTAACCATTTATCTCAGTGTTTCATGGAATTCACTAATTATATGTACTTTACAAGTGTTAAATATGAAACCTAAGGATATTGTATAAATGCCACTCATTATCCTTTGATTATTTTTATGTCAATTCTGTTCTGCTTTTCAGGATTTTTTTTCAGTACCCCAATCAAAGCTGTATTCTCTAGCATGTTAAAATCTGTGTATACATCATCCTTTATATCCCCATACTATCAAGTAAATTATTTGCAACATGTGCCTTTCTGTAAATCACTGATCAAATAAGTTTTAAGCATTTATGGAAATTGATCTCAGACTTTAGGAAAACAATATCAAAAATGTCTTATTATTAGAGTTCTACCTGCCTGCTGAGTCCAGGGATATTATTAGATCTACAGAAGTGGCTTTTTTTTTCATTTCCCAATTATAAAGAGGTAATTCAGAGATGCAGTTTCTGGGACTGCTTGCTGTCACTTGTGGGCTACTCTCTCCCTTATCAAAGGGAAATAAACTTGGTACATTGTGTATTTTGAGCTCTTTGACCAGAGAGATTACTGAGGGCTCAGTCAGAGTTAGTTAATACTATGAGCTTAATTTTTGGAAAATAATTATTAGTTGTAAAATCTTAAGTAATAAATTATTTTTTTATTTTCCATTTTCAGTCAGTTCTTCTAAAAAAGAAACTTGAAGAACATCTGTAAGTATAAAAGCTATTGAGGCTTATTTTTATATTACCCAGTGAAACATAACAAGTGTTTTATATTAGGTGGTTACACATTGTTTAGGCAATGACTTGTATATCCCTGGAAGATATAGAATACTGCAAGATACATATATATATAGTGCCTAAGGGTCATCTCCACCAAAGATCCTCAAATTGAAATAATTACTGCTTTAGAACTGTTTTCAAATGAGATCCCAGGGTTTTATTTCTCCTTCATATTTAAAGGATAACTTTGCTGGATATATTATTCTTGGCTGGTAATTTCTTTCTTTCGGTAGTCTTACTATTTTGGTTCCACTCTGTTCTGACTTACAGAGTTTCCTCTGAGAAGTTAAATATAACTTAATGGGTTTTCCTTTATAGGTTACTTTCTTCTTTTCCCTGGCTACCTTGAGAATTTTTTGTCATTATTTTTTGACAGTTTTAATATAGTATGCTTGGAGAGGACCTCTTTGGTTTAGATGTTCTGTTTGCCTCTTGGATTCATGGAACTAGCTCTTCCCATAGGTGTGGGGAGTTCTCATCACCACTTCGTCTGAATAGGCTCTTCTTTCCCTTCTCCCTCTCTTCTTCTTCTGGTACACCTATTATTATATTATATTGCTCTTTCTGGTGGAACCGAAGTGTTTTCTCTCATTTTTTTTTAATGCTCAAATCTCTCTCTTCTTCCTTCTGAATAATTCCTAGATTTGTATCTTTGATATCACTAATTCTTTCCTCCATCTGCTTCACTCCATTTCCTATGCTCACTGGTTCATTTTTTTATTATTAATTTCAGAGAGGAAGGAAGGAGAGAAAGAGATGGGGAGAGAGAATCATTGATGTGCTGCCTCCTGCACAACCTCTACTGAGGATTTAGCCTGCAACCTGGGCATATGCCCTTGACTGGAATTGAACCCAGAACCCTTCAGTGGGCCAATGCTCTATACACTGAGCCAAACAAGCTAGGGCTCACTGGTTCATTTTTACCTCTTTTATGGTGTTCTTCATCTCTAGAATTCCTGTTTGGTTCTTTCTGAAAGTTTCAGTCTCTTTGGTAAAATACTTGTTCATTAATTTATTTTTCTGAGTGCAATACATTGCCTGTCTGTATTTTCTCACATTTCATTGAATATTTTCAGAACTGCAATCTTGACTTCTCTGTCATTTATATCACATACTTCCTTGTGTCTAAGGTTGCTTTGTTTCCTTGTGTCTAAGGTTGCTTTGTGGAGATTTCTCATTTTCTTTCTGAACTACCTTACTATCTTGGTTATTCATGGTATTTGATGAATTTCTTCTCTGTCTAGGCATCTATGTTTGAGTGGCACTTCTCTAGCAGATTAATAGAAAGAGGTCTTCGTATCATTTTCCAGTAGGTGGTGTTAAATCACAAGTTTTTTAGCTCTGGGAAATTCCAGTGCTGACCCTGCAGTGTCTCTGGCTGCCATCAGTGTGGCCACAATGTGTGGGGATTGGGTGGCCTTGGGGAACTCTGTTGCCTTCTTTATTTTGCCCTCTTGGTAATGGTGACCTTGAACCTCTGGGGGTCTCCCTTTGCCCTGACCTGGAACCAGTCACAGAGTAAACCCTTTGCTCCGGGAAAATAGTGATTTTGTAGTACCAGTTTTCAGGTTTTCAGATAATGTTCTCTGCATTATGACACCAAAAGAGATGGGAGGATAGAGTCCATGAGGCAGCCGGCCTTTGTGGCTTTGTTTCTCAGTCTAGAATTCTGGCCACCCAAGAGTCACAGGTGCCACCCATGTGTTGTGTCCTTGTCCTGTCTCTGATTCAGTCGCAGCTCAGGCTGCTCGTTCCAGAGTCTCTCTGCTCCTCCTGCCTGAAGCTAGCACCCGCCACAACTGGGCTCCTCCCCTCTCCAGGCTGAGCCCCACAGTTAGCTCCCAGCTACAGGGCTGAGTGGCTCATCCTCCTCCTGCCTTCCAGCCTAACCAGTTTGTTCCTGCTTGCCCACCTTTAATGCTTCAATGCGCAGATCTCAGGCAAGACTGAACATTGAGCAGGGAATCCTTATTGAGTTATAGCTATTCAAATTGCTGAATCTTCAAAGATGAGACCAAAGGATCTCTCCTGCTGTTCTTCCTCTGACCTAAATTATCCTTTTTTAAGTAAATTTTTTAAAAAGTATTATAAAGTTTATCAGTAGCAGTTTATCAAACATTTCCTTGAATTTCAGATATATTTGAACATGGCTTTTTAATCTAAATGGTGAAATAAATTTCAAAATATTAGATTTGTTTTCTCATAAAGAAAGAATGTTCATCCATCTTTATCTTTATCTGAGGTTGACAGTGTTAGGAATGTTACATGATTTTTTTCACACCCAGTAACAAATTTAATCCTTCCTGACACTTTCTAGCAAATATCTCTGCTTCCAAACATTGAGTGCAGAGTGACCATGAATTGTTAACCTGTTAGAATGTTAGTGTTGCACTATAGTAAACCAGATATCCCCAGTAGATAATTTATACTTATTCTGTTGAGATTGGAAAGAAATTCTATAGTCTGACACCTTACCTCATGCTAATTTTTTTTTTTTTTTAATGTGGGGAAGGTAAGATACTCCTTGTAATTGATACTTGCTAACAAATCTAACAATAGGCAGATTTTTAATGTATTAGAACAGAAAATGTTACCTCCCAGCCATTGTAAGGTTACTTAGAGTCAGGATTTAGTACTGAATTCTTCCCATTCATTTACTGGCAAAAAGAGAATACCTGTTGTTTCATAAAATTATGATCTGACCATTTTTTGTGTTTAGTCATTTACAAGGTAAATAAAAATCATCATCAAAAGTGTTTATCAGAGATGAGACCTGTATTCATTTCCTATGGTTGCTATAACAAATTACCACATTGTTTCTTGTGAGAGGCTAAAACCAATAGAATTCTCTAACAGAAGTCTGAAATCAGGGTATCAACAGGATTGGTTCCTTCTGTAGGTCCTAAGAGAATCTGTTCCATGCCCCTCTTGTATCTTCTGGTGGCTGCCAACAATCCTTGGTGTTCCTTGGCTTGTAGATGCATCAGTCCAATCTCTATCTTTATTTCCACATGACATTCTCTCTGTATGCCTGTGCCTTCTTAGGACTATCAAGGATATCAGTCATTGAATTTAGGGCCCATCCTAGTCCAATATGAGTTCATTTTGACTAATTACATCTGTAAAAAGTCTGTTTCCAACTGTCATATTCATAGGTCCTGAGTATTAGGACTTCACCATATCTTTGTGAAGACACAGGGACCATAGACATCTTAAATATGGTCAATTTTATACACATTTAAAGTGACAATGGAGACCCTTTTACACACACCAAATTTGTAAAATTTAAGAATCAGACATACTGAGTATTGCCAAAGATGTTGAGCAATGGTAATTCTCATCTATTGCTTGTAGGAGTATACGGCAGTTTACTTAGTAAACTTGAACATGAACATATTCTGTGACCTATCAGTTCCACTCCCCTATATATGTTCTAGATCAGCAATTTTCAACCTTTTTCTTTCTTTTTTTTTTTTTTAAATATATATATTTTATTGATTTTGTACAGAGAGGAAGTGAGAGAGATAGAGAGTTAGAAACATCGATGAGAGAGAGTCATCGATCAGCTGCCTCTTGCACACCCCCTACTGGGGATATGCCCGCAACCAAGGTACATGCCCTTGACCGGAATCGAACCCGGGTCCCAATTTTCAACCTTTTTCATCTTGTGGCACACATAAACTAATTACTAAAATTCTGCAGCACACCAAAAAATACATTTTTGCCCCACAAAAAAAAAGGTATAATTTTTATTGATTTACCCCAGAAATAATAATGGTAATTGCCTATTTTTTTTTGCTTCATAGTAACTTTAAAGAAATCAGCTGCATATACTCGTAAGGATTTCTGGTACCAAGAAGTAACCAATCACACACAGCCTTATTATGCAGCTCTATTATATGACCTATATATTTATGAATCAAGACAGGGCATTCACACTGGATGACTATTGTTGTGTTTGCTGTTGTCATATTTTTATTTAACATTCTAAGGAAAAAGAGGTCAGTGCCCTTGATTAGTCAGGTATTTCACATTTTAAAAATTCTTGCGACACACTGGTTGAAAATCACTGCCCTAGATTCCTAGCAATGCTTTCGTTCATGTGAACCAGGAGACATGTAGAGGAAGGTATGGAAGATCAACTATATATATAAAAAGCCTAAGCAACGGAACAACCAGTTGCTATGACATACTCTGACCACAGGGAGCTAAGGCTCAATGCAGGGGCTGCCATAACCAGGACTTGAGAACCCTGACCTCCTGGTTCATAGGTTGACTCTCAATCACTGAGCAACACCAGCCAGACTCATCTTTGTTTTATAGCATTATGTGCTATAAAACAACTGTATCCCATGAATAAAGAACTTACATTTTCATTTGAACCGTAGTAGGTGATACAGTTATATATTTTGTTACAGAGAGAAACTACATGAAGCCAATAATGAACTGCAGAAGAAGAGAGCCATTATTGAAGATCTCGAACCAAGATTTAACAACAGCTGTGAGTTTTTTTAATTAGCGTAGTCTTAAGTTAGTTAGCCTAACTTCACCATAGTGATGAGTTTATATAAAATGGTTTATTTTAGAAATATGCCTTATTTTAAAGGATTTGCTTCATTTTTTAAAATGAGTATATATAAAATCATCTTCACAATATTTCTTAAATTTCTAATGATAGTTGTGTTTTTCATTCATTAACTGTGAATGATAATGAATAATTTATTAAATTAGTTCTTTTCAAGGTATAGTTGAATATAAGTCAACCAAAGTTTTACTACTTTTGAAACTTACACGTATTCATAGTTTGACTTTATTAATTCTGTTGTGTGGAAGATGAAGTAAAACAAACTTTTAGTTTTTTTCATTGTGGTAAAATGTACATACATACAAATGACCTTTTTAACCATTTTAGGTATACAGTTCAGTGGCATTAAGTATAATCACATTGTTGTGCAACCACACGCAATCACTCAGTTGTCCATTATAGTGATGTTGTGCAACTACCATCATCTCTAGAACTTTTTTTTGTATCATTCCATACTGAAGCTCCTTAGCCCCTGGAAACCACTATTCTACTATAATATGTCTGTGAATTTTACTCTTAAGTATTCCCATTCATACTGGTGGAAACATATATTTGTTCTTTCATGTTTGGCTCATTTCACTTAGCATAAAGTCTTTTATTTTTACTTAGCATAATGTCCCCATGTTGTATCATGTATCAGAATTGAGGCTAAATAATATTCTATTTGTGTGTGTGTGTGTGTGTGTGTGTATCACATTTTGTGTATCCATCCATCCATCAATGGATCTTTTTTAATTTGAGCACTTTTATACTAGAGTTTTTGTTTATAAGAAAAACTTTATGTAAAAAAATTACGAATTTTTTAAAATAAAATTATAGGAATAGATCCATCTCAAAGCTATTAACTACTTACTGTTAGTTGAAATGTTTTTAAAGTTATTATAATATAAAAAAAATTTAATTGTCTCATCTGTAGCCTTAAAAATTGAAGAGTTACAAGAAGCTTTACGGAAGAAAGAAGAGGAAATGAAGCAAATGGAAGAACGATATAAGAAATATTTAGAGAAAGCTAAAAGTGTAAGTATGCATTCATGGACATCTCACTTCACTTTCTGAGAATGTTCCACTGACTTCTCAAAATGCAGGTACAGTGATTTCTCATGCAGAGAATCAGGAGAAGAACAAGAAGTACCAAGAGGAAAATGTACCTTTATATAGGAAATAAGTGGCAGTCAGCACATTAAGTAGTAATCAGAATTACCTCCACTAATGGTAGGACAACCAACATCTTGTGCCTCCTGGTAGAGTATCATTGCCAATAATACTTAAACTGAATCTAAGCAATCTTCTAGTCCTAACTTTGTTCTCAAGGAAAATAAGGTTATTAGAACCAGTTAAGTAACACTTTCAGAAAATCATCAGATAAATGCAGTATTTGGGATAAAAGTCAATGTTATGAAAAGCAAAAATAGGCATTAGAGTGTAGGGGAGCATAAGAGACTATTGTGATTTTTTAAAAGTCCAAAGGCATCTAAGGACCAAATGTAATACATTAATCTGGATCAGGGGCAGAAGGGTAGTTTGAAAAGACATTTTGGAAACACCTGTGGAAATGTGGATTTGGACCAAATAGTGATTGATGATTTGTAGAAATATTGTTTTACAGATGACCATCTTACTGTGATTATGTAGGAGAATGTCTTTAGTCAAAGGAGATACATGTTGACGTGTTTAAGGGTTACCGTACATGTCGTGAGGTCTGCAAATTGCTTTAAAATAGTCCCCTAAACGAGCAAGCATGGTATCTGTGTGTGTCAGAGGCAGGAGAAGGAGGAATCAGATGTGGCAGTGTAGTAATTGGTTATCTGGGTTTTTATTGTTCTGCTCTTTCTAGTTTTCTATAGGCTTGGCTACTTTTGATGCTAAAAGTATTGGGCCAAAAAGCAAAAGGACTTTCTCAGAAGACCTCTAGTTGGCTAGCTAGGACTGCATCAGGTACCCATGCTTAACCCGAGCCACTGCCAGAAGAGGAGATAGGTCACAGTGACAGGCTTTTAAACCATCGGGACCTCTTTCTAAGTACACGTCTGGTCAGAGGCAAAGGGCTAGCTGAACCAAATCAGAGGAAAGAGAAAGGCTAAATAGCTGTAGGTAGTGTTTGCTGTAGTAAAATTTATTAATTTTAAGCAAAAATGGCTTCTTATAATTGATTCTTTTACATAATTAAAAATTTTATATAATTAAAAGTTGTAATAATTGAATTATTATTTCATACATTCAAATTTTAAAGTATCCTTGTACAATAGCTTTCATTTTCATAAGGTTTATCTTTCGTTTTTTAAATAAATGCTTTCTGAGCATAATACTGAAGCAGTAGCTTCTGTTTTGTGGGACTTTGCTTTCTCATTCTTTCAGTTTGAGAGTTGTAAATTTTTTCTTTTATTACTTTTTACAGGTTATCCGTACTTTAGATCCTAAACAAAATCAAGGAGCAGCACCAGAAATACAAGCTCTTAAAAATCAGCTTCAAGAACGAGACCGAATGTTCCATTCATTAGAGGTAGTTCACTGTACTAGACAATAAGATATTTCTTTTCTTTTCTTTTTTTTCCCCTAGAAGCCTTGCTATATGTGGTTGTCTCCATTAATTTAGAGAGTAAATTTTGACTGTTGATATTGAATTGCTTTTTATATTTACATGTTTACATGTGCTTGTATTTTAGAAAGAATATGAGAAAACCAAGAGTCAAAGAGAGATGGAAGAAAAATATATTGTTAGTGCCTGGTACAATATGGTAAGAAAAGAACACATAAACGTATGTGAAGTTTAGTGAATATCTAATACTTATTACATGCCCTTTACTGTAGAAGTAATTCTGCCAAAGGAATCTGAAAGTAATTGCGGGCCTAACACACACTAACAAAACCTAATGCTGATGTTGGACTGAAAAGCAGATGTGAGAACCATTCCATGCATGGTTAGGGTATTTTGAACACATCATTATCCCTAGAGAATAGAAAGGTAAACGACAGTTTGATTTCTGTCTCTTGGAACCATTTTCTTCTAGAGGGAAGGGACATTAGTGATATCTAAATACTGGAGCAGTCGCTCTTGTCTTGTGGGACGTTGCATGAATGGTGCTTATATTGAGTACAGCTTAACTGTCTCATAGAGTTTAAAAAATGTTTATGGTTGATAGACTTTGAACAACTAGAAGTTTTAAAATTGGATTTCCGACACACACATACAAAAACTTGAAATGTATTGCAAGGGAAAATAAATGCTCATCACAGTCTGGCTTTTCTATGATTTTCTGGATATAAATTGCTGTGGTTTTTAGAGAATACTGTACTTTGCTCATTACTTTTTCTGAGACTTTTTGTCTTTTTCTTCTTTGTTTTTCTCTTCAGTTAGAGCACTTTCTGCCTTTCCATTGTTAGTTGCTTAAGAAAGGAAATTAAACCAGATTCCTTTCAATAACCCTTTTCAACACTAAAGTTGTGTCAATGGCACAATATCATTATTTCTGTTTTACAATTATTATTGATACTGTGTCTTAAAGGTTAGTGTCCCAGGCCACCTAATTCTATGATTTGATCTTTGTTAAAATTAATACAATTTCATGACATGTCCACATTTATATTTGGCTTGGTTAAAACTACATATTTAAGATTTTATCACAATTAAAAAAAAGAGAAATTCAATAAGTTTAAAATACTATTACTGTTAACAAGTATAGGTTTCTTTTTTTTTTAAGTATAGATTTCTTGAAAATTAAAATTAAATAATAGGAAAAAGCTATATATTTAAGGAAGTTCTCTGGGAACTAGTCTTGACTCCACCTATTCTGTTTCCTCTATACCCTTCTTAAATGTTAGAGCCATCGTGGAGTTCTGCCCCTCAATCCTTATTAATAATTTCAGATTCTTGATTGATTTTTATGACTCCACATACTGTGTTTCTAATGGAACTAAACTTATTTATCCTGTGATATAATATTAAAGAATAATCCTAGTTTTCAGCTCTACATAGAGAAGGAATCACTGAGTAGACTAAACACAAGTTAATGTTCAGGTAATATAGCCAGTAACAGCATCTCATTCAACCAAAATGGAAGTGAAGATTGCAAGTGCTGGGAAAAAGGAATTAAGTGTTTCAGAGAATGTCTTTGTGATGGATGCTGAGGTTTTGAAAGTGTATGAAGAATTTGAATAAGTTGCTTGGAATATGAGAGTGAAAAAAAATAGTATATTTTAAATGAAATATAAATATTTTGGGTATCCCAAAAAATGTATACACATACTTTGAATAATTATAAAGGCAGTGTTTATTGAAATACATTTCATTTTCAAAATTGAGCTATCAGCTGTTAGTGTATACATTTTTGGGGACACCTTTTATGTAGCCAAATTGAATAAAGATTACCAATAGATTTCTGTCAATTTTATTCAGATCCTTAAATGCTTTGATTTCAAATTGAGTGGAAAAAACTATCCTGGATTGTCTCGTAGGCAAAATGGAGGAATGTGTTAACATATTTGGGAATATATGATAGACTGCAATTCTATTAAAAATGCAAAGCAATGCCCAGTGTTTTAACTAGTGATAGAAAGACATGTTTTAGTCTTCTGCCTTCTCTGGCAGTTTGTCCATTTCATTCTGGGAAGGCTGTGTGTCCTAGTACAGCTTAGCTTTAGCTGCCTCACTCTCATCCTACCTCCCAACTGCTCATTTCCTCCTTGTTGCCTTCCACTTCTACCCATCCATTTACTTGTATCAGTCAGTGGTCAGATTAAACGGCCGCTCTCAGTGTCCCATATTTGTCTGGCGTAGGTTCTTCACTGGCTTATTAAATGACGACCAAAACCACCTTTTTCTTCATCTACTCATAGTCTGTTTATTGTAATTATTTCTCTGTGTTTAGAGTGCACTCCCCAGAGATTATTTCCTCCTGTTAAGGTGCTCTGGGCCCACCAATTATGGCTCTTATCCCTTCTAAACTAGTAGGCCATCGTCCTGTCTTCAAGAAAGACCCCCTGCTCCCTGTTGTGCCCTCTGTTTTGGGCTGTCAGGAACTTTTCTTTAGTTGTTTGAGAATACAAGCCCACCTGAAGTGAAGAAAAACAGCATGGTGGTATGTATTATATCTAGTGTGCCTTTCCACTTCAAGGAACAGCAAGTGCATTTGTGGTTTGCCATTCTAAATAAGCCCTGATTGCCACTGCCCCTTGTGAATCAACTGCTACCAATCAACTGCACTATTTTTCTTGGAAAATCACTTTCATACATTTGATTTGAAAGGAAAGTGTGATTGAGAATGGGTACTATATTTCAAAATCAGTTTATATTGTTTTGGTTGTTGTCTATTCAGAAAATTTAACTCTGCATTTTTCCAAAGGAAGATTTGTACCTAATTGTTGGAACTGAAATACCTATAAAATTTTAATCTGTAATGAGCAGAATTAATATTTCTAATTGTCCCTTCTGATGCAATGTAAGAAAATCTGAATGATGAAATTGTCTTTTATGAGAGTATGTGCCACAATTTTTTCATTGATTACCTTTTTTTCCTGTGTGATATAGGGAATGACCCTGCATAAAAAGGCGGCTGAAGATAGACTTGCTAGTACAGGTTCAGGGCAGTCATTTCTGGCTAGGCAAAGACAAGCAACCAGCACAAGAAGATCTTACCCAGGCCATGTTCAACCAGCCACAGCAAGGTAGACAACTCTTGCTAGTAAAATAAAAAAACATTCTGCATTCAAAATATACTTCTGTTATATATAACACCATTTCAGGAAATTCAGCCGGCTTATTTTTTGTCTCTATGTTATGTTAATATTTAGTTGTTTCTCATTTGAGGACTGTCTCTCCGTATCTATGATGTTTCAGTTTCTTGGTCCTTTATTTTGTAGTCCTTTCAGTTCCTTTTCATGTGCCAAAAATTTTTTAAATGCCCAATTAAAAGTGTTGGATAATAGTATAGTACTTTTCTTTATATGAAAATGTCCTTTTCCCAATGGTGTAAGCTTTGTAATGAATTAGGTTTTCTGCCAATAATTGATATACAATTTATATTCTTTATTGTGCCTCTGTGTTACCATGCTTTATAAGAATGTCTTTGTTTAAAGGGAATTAATCTTTTTATGATGTATTAATCTGTGTTTTCAATTGTTTTCCAAATGCACTTCAAATAACTTGCATATTTACTATATAAAATGAATGGTTGGCAAATGCACTTTTTGCAAAGACATAAATATATTGGCAGAGGTGCTAATCAGATCTTACCTATGGCACCTGATAGAGTTATTTAGAGGGAAAAATTAGTTTTCACATTGTTTTATAGGAAATTAAATTTGTTTGAAGATTTGGAAACTATTTTTAAAACATAAATACATAGAATTTTATTATTTCCTGTCTTACTGCTGACAGAAGTGAATGCATTGGTTAGGTTATTAGGGGGGGAAGTTCCAGAAGAGGAACAAATCAGGCAGTGCATTACTTGTTTCTTACTTTGGAATATCACAGTAACTGAGGATCAAAATCTGTGTGTGGCTGATATTAATAGTTCCAATTGCCCTCCACATCTTAGACCTATTTTTCATATATTTACAAATATTAGGTAGCATTACCCTTTGGGCAACTTCCTTGTTGACTTACATCTCTTTTGTTTTACTTATTTGTTAATATAAACATTTCTATTCCTCAATAATTCCTAATACTTAACATCTAAATATCAGTCATTATGGTCAACAAATGACTTCTTATATGTGCTGTTGTGATAGGTCTCTTTTACATTTTTCTCTTAATTCTATGTATTAGTCCAAGAATTTGCTACTGAACAGATTCTCTTGGGTATTTGGTTGCATCAGAGTGTTTAAATTCATTGATAGCTTGATTGTAAACCATGTTTATTTACATTGATGAATGGTTGTCAAGTAATAATGATTGTAAAGCACTTTGAGTATATAAGGTGCTACATAAATGTAAACTGTCACTTTTTTGAAAATGAAATGCCTCTATCTGACTTTACATATTAATTCAAGTATTTGGTCCCCACTTATATTTAAGTTCCCCTCCAGCCTTTTTCTTGCACCATAGCCCATTTTATTAAAAGCAAACAAAAATTTCTGAAATTAGGTCAATTTTTTAACTTGTTTGTTTTTGTTTTTAGATAGGTCACCAAATAAGAGGATTTTATTTCATGTACGTGCTGTTTGGAAATTCAGGTTTCATTTATTTCTGTATATTATACAAATTAGTAATTTTAAATCAAATTTATTCAGAATTTTCATAAATTGTAGTCAAATGTATGGTTTTAAATTCTTCCATTTTTATAAGAAAATTGACCTAAAAATTAGTAGTGTTTTCATTTGTCCTCAGAAATCATACCTGAAGAAAGTATTAGAATATACAAAGAAAGACTTTATGTATTGTGCTAATTCTTACATTAAGTACAGAAATCTAAATGCAGTGTGAATGCTTCTGCCTACTATGACCATAAAGCAGTAATAACTAATGATAATGGACAGAACCACATGAGTAGAGTGCATTGTGGGGTTTCAGGAGGCTAAAAACCTAATCAACATAAGAAGTTTTGACAATAAAAGATCAAAAACTATTTAGGATGGTTCTTATCCTCAACCCCTGATTTTACAAATCACATAAGGATTCAACTGTTTTAGAACAGAGTGTGAAACTAATCTTGATTAAATTAAAATAATTGGGAAATTATACCTATAGAATAAGATAGATGGACATAAAAGAATCTGTGAACTATTTATTTAAAGGATTATATCCTATAAGATAAGAAGTTTTGAATTTACGTCTCTATTTGCTTCCCCAGTCCTGGTCTCTGACCCACCCACCTACTCAGATATAGTTCTCTAAATGGGCTGGAAAGGTGTCAAGCTTTTAGAAGGAAGTTTTCTTATTTTTCTTCAGTATCTGTTATATGCTATTATTTTGGTGTTTTACAGTGATAACTTTCACTCTCCTTTACTGTACCCTTAAAGTTTAGTATATTAATATTACTTTCAAGTATATAGAAGAAATTATATTTCTAAACGTAGTATGATTTAAAAAAAAAAAAAAAAGCAGTAATAACCACTTAGCTGTAACAGTGACAACCCTGTCCAGTTTTGAACAGGATTTTTGAAATTGCTCTCTCTCCTGCAATGCTTAATAATTTTTTAGGAAGTTTGTGATGATGAATGGTCTATGTGGAAGGTAGAAGACATTGGGTGCTTTATTTATATGTGAGAGCCGTGCTATATTTTCACAAACTCCTTAGTCACAGTAGCCACAGTTCACTTGTGGGGCTAGTCCTGTCCTCACCAATGGACTAAGTACAGTGTTATTGCATTAGATTGAGGTGATCCATCAGCCTACTCTAGTGGCTGAATTCTTATAATAAAAAAGCTTATTTGCTGTTTTCCTTCTAACCAGGGTAGGAAAATATAAGGTAAATAACTAAGGAATATTAAAGCATAAAATTTATGTTCTGCAGTGTCTATTTAAGAAGTTCATTATGGGGAAAGAATTCAGCAAATATTGTAGTTTACCACATCTAAAAAGAGTATAAATAATACAGTTGTAATTAAAAGAGTTTCCAAAATTCCAGTTATATCTTTTTATAATTTGTCTGATTACTTGTTAATAGCCAAGAAAAAGAAGTCCCTAAATAAAAGACCCATGTTCCAAAATTGACCAAGATTGAATTATTTCTATTAGATAGCACTAGCCTGGTTCAAAAAAACAACAACACAAAAAACATTGGCTTAATAGGATACTTAGGTTATAATAAGGAAATATTGTTTGTAACTTTGTTGAAGTTTTATTGCTTTGTTTATATAATAAAAGCTCAAATGTACAAAATTAAGCTAAACATTATCCAGCCAGAGACTTCAGCCTATATATTTCATTAGTTTTCACAATGGCATGAAAATTCATGCTGTCCAAATAGATCAGCAATAAGCTGTAAGTGAAAGATGAGTTTAGTTGAAGAAAAGACATTTTATTTATGTTCTGCTTTACTCACATCTCCTTTTCAATAACAGTTTTGTCCATTCTTGTTAACTAATGACATAAAATATTTTTGAGTGTCTCTTGCTTTTAGAGAAGCATTTATTCCTTTAAAGATAATAACCATGTTAAAAACTTGAAAATCTTTATCCCGAAATAAGAATTATCTTGAAACACAAATCTAAAATTTTAAATTATCTTAACTCTCTGAATTTAATCTCCAATTGTCCAGATCTCAGACTTCGGGAATGTTACAGTTATCCTCAGTTGGAGCATGTGAGATTTATCTGAAAAAGCATCCACAGCTCAACTAATAAATACAAACCCAGCTAGTTCACAGACTTGTGGATCAGACACCTCTGGTCCTACAGTGAGAGGAAAGTACTCAGCATCTTGCTTTTGCTAAGGACAAAATTAACAACATTAAGTCAAAAGGCTCTTTGTTGTCTGTTCATTAAACTATGGAAGGATATTTTTACTTTTTAGCTTTATATTATGAAGGGGCCCTTTTCTTAGAAATGGCTGTAGAACGGATGTAGCATTGTACTTCTTAACAGCAAAGCCTGTGTGATATCCCAAAGTAGGATGAAGGAGCGTACTCAACAAAATTAAAAGGGATATCAGAAACTTGGAAAATTCTTTTAGCTGTTTTTTTTGTTTTGTTTTGTTTTTTGCCCTTTTTTAATAAATAAGTTAAAAAGGGTTTTCCATTCAATAATGATCATCTCTTTTTCTATAGCTCCCACTGTTAACTTTGGCAGCTTCCTTTGGTAATTGTACAACCCAGTTTCATTACATTTAGAAAGTGGTTTCAGAGCTCATTCTTTGTAACTATAATGATTTTATATCATGTAGTTTTTATATGAGGAAGGTTATTCTCAATGTATCTGTCATCCAATTTTTTACTTTCTATAAAGCATATTTAAATAAGAATTGGTGTATGTTCCTTTTATTGAAAATTTGCAAAGCTTCTATTGTCTAATTTCAGCATAATTTTAGGGCCTAAAGTTTTGCATTAAATATCATTCATTTCTCAGAAGCCTAAAACACATGAAATAATTTGTTACAAACAGCTAATTTCTACCCCTCCCTCAAATCACGGAAGCCTTAATATTTAGCTTCCTTTTTGTAAATGAAGGACAGTGCAGATGTAATGACATTTATCTATTTTAAATCACTTGATTATGTTTTGGGGAAGTATGTACTGATTTTTTTAAGTAGCCTTTTATATTCATAAAGATAATATAATTCGCATGTATTATTTTTATGAATGTAAAAGTTTATGACATATTTAATGTTATCTTTAATTGCACTTGGATTCTTCACATTGCACTTAAAATAATAGAGAAGGGACATTAGTTATTGAAAAACTAGACACCTGAACCTAGTTATGAGTTTTGGCAGTAGTGGGGGATCTATAAATGCTTTCTAACAATTATATATCAGCAATTACAGTTCTGTCTCTTCAGTGTTTTTCTGTTTTCTAATATTTTATAATAACATTCTGTAAGATAAGATTGTATGCTGTATATAAGTGAGCATAGAAATCTGAGAAAGTAATAGAATTGCATTAAGGCAAATCCTAGAGAGCAGAGTGGATTATTGGGATAAGAAATTGCCTAGTTATAAAATACATCCAGGCAGATGAAAGTATTAATACAATTAAAACTTACGCCGTCTTAACAAATGTTCCCAAAGTA